AGTGGGCACTGATCAGGGGTTGATAGGTATGCAAATGTTATATAAATCGGGCCTTGCAACCTGTAATGTCTGTGTCATGGAGCTGCATTTTAAGCCATAACACAAGCTCCCAAACAGACACACATTAATTAATACAATTTTAAAAGGAATGTTTCAAACTCCTTCCGTTGCGTCTATGTTATTAGATTTTTTTTGTGCGTGACCCTGTTATTAATTATTTAAAAGCACTGTGTGGATATTTGGACGACGATGCTGCTGCTGCAGCTACATGCTGGGCTGCATTTGCAAACTGCCTCCAGAAGTCTGCCCCCCCTCCCACCCCAGTCTCCTCACCCTGATGGAATATGGCAGTGCTGCTCTGTTGCGATGGCCCTCTGACACCGTCGGCTCCTCGCTCCAGCGAGAGCAACAGCCACCGACCATCGAAGGGCGTCAGTCTGCCGGACTATTGATTTCGCGTTGCCCCCTTGTTTTTTTCAAAGTAAGTTAAAACATTTTTTTTTCAAGAAACCCAGAACACGGACATCGCAGAGGGACGTGCAAATGACGAACATGCGGTCTCAAATAGGGGGGGGGGGGGGTGGGGGTGGGAGGTTGGTGTCTGGAGGCACTTGGGCTCTCACTGACCTACCCACGGTAGGATGCAACGATCGGGAAGCAGCAGATTAACGGGGAAGCGAAAGAAGAAGAAAAAGAGTGGAAGAGTGGAAGGAAGGGGAATAATGTAACCAAACAAAGCAGGAAACAGAGTAACACAAGGGGCCGTGTCGGGGTTTATATCCCCTCTTATTTTGCTCCCCCCGGAGCGGTCGTCGTCAGGTGCTCGCTGCAGTGTTTCGGTGTCCAGGAGTCCATCCCCCTCTCCCCGGGCCCCTTCTCCCGATGTTCCGGGGTTCAGTAGAAACGGGGAGTGTTGTACCCCCGCTTAACGAGCCGCGCGCGCCTCTCCGCCTATCCCGTCGGCATCGTCTGCGACGCCTGCAGCAGGTGTCAAGAGGAGCCTTGAGAGAGCGCGGACGCGGCTACCGTTGCTCCGATACACGCGCGTTTTAAAACGGGCACCCCTGCTATCAAATCGTTCTATATATCTATATAACATTTGATATAATTTGAAAACTGATCTTCAATCGTCTCACCGAATTTAAGCGAACGTAATATGTGATGTAACGCTTGAATGCAATGTGGGGGTTGGGTGTGAATGGGCAGTTTGTTGGGACGCTGAGCTGTCAATCCGGTGATCTGAGTACAATTCCCGGCTACGGTTGACATCAACGGTGAGTGATATCTGAGCCAGTCCTGGGCCTCTCCTCCTCCACCAACCTGCACTGACCAGCGTGGTGAAATATGGTCACAATCTCCACGACTGGGATGGCATGGAGAGGCCTTCGTCCAGCAGTGGATTGACAAAGGCTCTAAATTATTATTAGACATCAGGTAGTTGTGCAAAGGAAGATTTTAAAAAAACATGGTGAACTCGTGCATGAGAGTTCAGTGAGCTGTGCCAAGGGGTGTGCTACACTTTGTGAAAACGTTCAGGACCACAGGCCACCCATCAGTCTCTGGCTTTGTGGGGACTCCGGTGTTATTACTCCGCTGGTCTCGTCCTCCGGTGGATGTGGCTTGCAGCTGCATTTGCGTGGGCAGGCGGCACTTGTCAGCCCTGCTGGCTGCAACCCATGTCGCCTGGTGTGCTGGTGTGGTGGAGACTCAATTTCCAAGGAGCTGGTGGTCTGGCCACATGGTTGGTGCGTTGTGTTGGTGGTGAGAGTGGCAGTGACGACGGTGGGTTTGTCGGAGAGGAAGTATGAACCCATAAACCTGAGTTGCATTCCTGGCCATAGCTAACATCAGTGGTAATTGATATCTGAACTGGTCTTGAGCCTCCTCTGTGTTGACGCAGTCTTAAATGAGTACTGCACCTGGTTTGGCGTGTAATTATAAGCACTGGTGCTGACCTCACCGCGCCCTCGTGTGCCGTGTCGACCTTCATAGGTGCTCGCTAAAAGCACACCCTGTCTCGGCTACATGGGGGAAGATGGTCCGGTGGTGATGATGGTGGTGGCCCCTCACTTGGTGTGGCGGTGTCGATCATAGCTGCTCACTTGGCAGCGGTGCTGGCCTCGAGCTTGGTGGCAGCGGCAGTGGTGACGGTGGTGCCGGGTTTGTTGGGATGCAGGAGGCTCCGTGCGCGCGCGAGAATGAGCAACCCCCCCCCCCCTACCGGCAGCCTCTTGTCGTTTTGTAGATTCTGTGCCGTCTGGAGAGAGTGGCGGGTCGGGAGAGACCCTTCGTGACCCTGAGCAGTGCAAGTCCCGACAAACGTCGGCAAAGCAAAATGGCAGTGTGCGATCGCCCCCCCCCCGTCCTCCTCCCCCCCCCCCGTGAAATTGTTCGAGGTCAGGGTTATAAAAGAAATAATTTCGAGAGAATATTTGTACTTGAATAGTTTAGTATTACGTTTAAAAATCGCAATAATTTTAAAATGTCTGCCGAGTGTGCTTCATATCCCTCCGCAAATCTAAAGGGTTGACCAGGACCATTCTTCGTAATGTGTTAAAATACAAAAGGGAATGAGTGAGTTTCCACTTGGCTCGTGACATCTAATAAGGAACAACATTTTGACATCCCGCTATTGCATTCGTATAATTTGAAGCGATTCGTGTATTTGGAAAACGAGCCAATTTCAATAATGCTTTTTCTTTACAACGAGAGATGATGGAACCTCATAAAACGATAATCTTTTATTTAATTTTACTATCATGGTACCAGACATTTTCACTACTATGCAATGATACACGGATCCTTATGGAACTCTAGGCTTTTTTTCTCTCTCTTAGATCTGTATGCGTCCTGCCGTCTGCAATAGTGAGCGGTATATCTTTTTGCAATGAAAAGCGATTGCTCGTAAGAACTCAACCCCCACGATCAAATCGTTCTGCCCGCAAAGACGGCAGAGTGGCGCGCTTGTTAACACCCGCGCCTCAAAGCAAGACGAGCCTGTGTTAGACTCCCGGCTTTCTGTGTGAAGTTTGAATGTTCTCCCTCCGTTCTGCATGCATTTCCGCTGGGTTTTCCAGTTTCCTCCCGTAGTTGATAAAAACACAACGCGTAACTGCGTTGGCCAAAAACATGCCAATGGTTGAAAACAATGACCTGCGAATGACTCTGTTGGGGTTCAACGTGGCAACGTCACCCCCCCACCCACCCAATGAAAGAATAAAATATAAACTTGACAGGACCCTCCTGAAGAAGAGTCTCGAGACTCGGTGTGACACTGCTGGGTTAACAAAGCGTAATTTAGCACAATGCATCCGATACCAATCACTTTCAGAAGCTAAGTGGGAGTTGAGCTAGTTCAGCGCTTGGATGGGAGATCTGCCTGGGAATGCTGCTCCCAGGTGGTGTGTGTAGGCTCAGGCTGCAATGTGGGCCCGGATATTGCAGTACAGCATTTGGATTCTTGAATTTAACTGCGTGGAACGTTGCGCGCGTCACCCTCTCCTATGTCCGTGGGTTTTCTCCAGCTTTCCTCGCACGTGAAGCCGCATAATCCTCCTTCGTAATACAACGGAGCAAACATCGCAATGTAGCAGCCCCACCCACCCTCGCCCCCCCCCGCTCCCCCCCCCAAAAAAAATATAATCTTGAGCCACAGTGAGGGTTCTCCTGGGAAAATAATGTTCATTTCTTGAAAATTATTTAAACCTAGGAATTTCTGAGCATTGGTCCTCATGGACACACAAAGGAGAATTCGAACGTCGCATTGATTGGAGCCGTCCATGAACTCGGGCTGCACTTTATCTGTGTTTGAGGATCGCAGTCTGAACGACCTGCTCCGTGGTATATCTCGCGTTGGTTGAGGTACAATGAAGGCGTCTGCATTCCTTTGATTTTCTGTCAGGGGATGATTCATGGCTGGGTTACAAAGTCACCTTTCACTGCTATGGGCGTACACGCACACAAAGACCTCCCGTATAGCCTTTTAAAGACTGTTGGGGCAAGTGCTGTTAGCGAGCACCTATGAAAGCCGGAACGGCACACGATGGGGTGGGTGGCCAGCACCACGCCCGACCGCCTTTGTCACCCCAGTGGCGATGTTTACACATCGCACCAGATACTCATTTGAGGCTGAGTCGACCTAGCGGAGGCCCAGGACCGGTTCAGATAATCGTCACTGGGTGTTGGCCGTGAGCAGGAATCGAACCCCGATTGCCGGGTTCGTAGTGCAGTGCGCTAACCGCTACACTCCCGCTCCCCCCCACACACACCACACACGTACGCACACACACACGTACGCACACGCACAAACACGCACACAGGCATGTGCACCATCATTTACTGATGGCATGGGACAAGCACTTGCTATGTCTCTGATATAAATGGGCACAATGTACAACCTAAACCCTGCTGTATGTCCCGGTATAATGTCTCATTGAGTCAGCTTGGCTTTAAACAATTTATAAAATAAGACATTTCCCAGGCATATCTTCGAATTGGTCTGATATTCATAACTTCAATAAAATCATTAAAAAAATTGCATCTGGGCGAGGTTAAGTGGCACACGTGCCAGCCTCGTTTGGCTCGGAGAATGAAGTCCTGAAAATGATAACGGGTTGTGCCCACGACCAAATATCACCGAGAACGCACCCATAGCTTGGATATGGCTCTGACGGTCGACCACCATGTATAACAGGCCATTGTATGATGCGGGGCTATGTGGTAGGCAGCTTCGGGCAATGTAGCAAAATCCATTGCTGTGCTGTACTTCTATGTTTCCCGCCTTCAACACACCACCAACGCGTACTGACCAGCAAAATCCAATACCTGCCACCATGTACATGGCGTGGGGGGAGGCCCTCAATCCAGCAGTCCAGCAGTAGATAAACAAAACAAAGGGCCGTAGATGTACGTGTATAACATGCATGTGTGTGACACGTGATGACTGTGGAACTCTGTCATTGACGGCTGCCACCCACCCACCTCACCCACTCCTCCACCAGCAGGCCCTCCCTTCTGGACCCACCCTGAGAAGATGGACAAGCGTCTTCACGCCGTGCCCGCCGCGAACACCGTCAAGTTCCGCTGCCCGGCCGCAGGGAACCCCCCTCCTGTCATCCGCTGGCTCAAGAACGGCCGGGAATTCCGCAGCGAGCACCGCATGGGCGGCATCAAGGTGAGAGGCGTTACGACGGGAAATGAGGCGGGGAGACGGCAGGGGGACGGCGCTCGCTTGGGGGGGTGGTGGTCCGAATTCTAATGTGCGGTTTTTAGGGTGGGGATTTACGCCGCGTCTGGGATGTGACCGCACGTCAAGACCGCCGTGCGGGAACGCTGGGCGTGTTTATGTTACATCGAGAGAGGCGGTCTGTCGTCGGAAGAAGGAGGAAGAGAAAAGCCACAGTCTTGAGCCTCTGAACGGGGAAAGGTCTTGAGCGTGGGAAGGGCATCGATGGCAATGGGTGGCCGGAGTTGCAGCTTACGCGAGCAGCAGAGAAGAACGATTGACCGCTCGCCGAGCAAACGTTGACCTGGGGGGTTGGGTGCTCGAGCAGAAAGTGCACTGAGCATCTTGAAGGGCGATCTTGAAAATAATCTGGCTTTGAATCGGGAGCCAGCTGAGGGACTGGAGGAGTGGGGTGATGTCATCTTGTTTTGCCGATGAAATTCGATGTTTGTTTCTATGTGTTTGGGAGTGGTGGCGTAGTGGTTGGTGCTACGAATCCGAAGGCTCTCTGGTTCAATTCCTAGCCAATAACGCTCATTCTAAATTAGTATACAATCCATTCATTCCTACATGTTTTGCTTTGTGTAGTGTGTTCATTGTCAGAACCAGGGTGGCAAATGCCGCTGGAAGTGATACCTGCCAAATTGCCCCCTTGTTCCATGCTCTCTTTAATAGGGGCTCACTTACACGAACTTGTCCCTGCAGTCGTTAAAAATGAATAAGGGATCCCTGTCTAGTCTCGGTGTGCTCACGCTTATTTTTGGCCAATAAAACGGAGCTGGAAACGACGACTAGTTGGCACACAATGGTGAGCAACATCCGCCTTCATCCTCGCATAATGAAACAAAACATTAACATTCAGCACGTGGCACGCGGGCTTTAAATTTCATTACTGGGCCAGCTGCCGTCAGGCGAGCCAGGCTGATAGCGGTTACCGAGTGGCATTGTCTCTCCGCGCGCGCGGGCTCTCTGGCATCGGACACGGCAAGGTAACCGAGAGGACACGAGACAACTGGCGATGACGGAAGGCAGCCGAGGACAGAACCACGCCCTCTGTGGCGGCGATGACAAACGTCTGGCAAACCGCCGACATCTGCTCGTCTCAGCATTAATCCGGCTGTCCCATTACACGAGCAAACAAACACTGGGCCGGCCGTCCCCGGCGACATTGACCCGCCCGCGAGGTGACCACGAGGCCCGGTGATGGATGGCCTGTCGCGAGCGGCCAAATCAATCGCGGTTCGTCTCATTGCTCGCGCCGCCGGCCGCGGGCCTCTCGGAGATCCGCGGCGCTGCGAGAAACGTCGCCGCTTCGGTGCCCTCCGTGGTTGGCGAGATGTTAACTGCCTCGCCTGGTATGCAGGAGGTCGCCGGTGCGATCCCGACCCTGACGCCTGCTGCTGTATATTTGGAGTTTGCCTGTCTCTCTCTCTCTCTCCCCGTGGATTTTTTTCCGGGTCCTCTGGCTTTTTCCCTCCATGTTTAGAATCATGAGTATTGGCTGCTATGCATTTCCACGTGATATGCCACTTCGTTGAGCTATCATTTGTGGCCAGGTAGCTTATGAAGAAGAGCTACAAAGCTCAGTGGGCCTTACCCTGCTAAAATAAAAAAAATGTTTTTAATAGTTAAGTATGTTGTGAAGAGGCTCCCGAATGCCGCCCCAGTTGTTGTGCGAAAGCGGTCGGTCAGAGCGACGCGAGGAGGCACCTGCAAGTTGGGCAGGTAACGCTGCACCATCGTTAGTCTTGCTTTGGGTGCGGCGGTGCTCAGGTGTAAGCTAATACCTGTGTCTCAAGCCCAAACACAATAATATATATAATTGAGTGAAAGGCTCGAATGGTTTTTTTTAATAACCGTCTGTTATATTGCTCCCTTTGGCCTATGCTTGATTTACCCAATTTATCTCCCACTGCCGCAGGCACTTTCGGTCACGTGTGCGCAATCACACAAGGCGGCTGTGAACTCGACGGTCAATGAATAGTGTCAATATTAGTGATGGTCCTCGCCGTGCGATATAAATAATTTTTATTAGATTTTTATATTATGTGGCGAGACAACGGTGCGGGTTGGTGGTGCACCGCGCTCTGAACCCAGCGACCCTCCCAGCCACGGCTTACACCTCCGATGAGCACGGTTTGCTACGTACAGTGCGAAAGAAGTTCGAAATACATGCATGAGTAGCGAGCGATAGCTGAACTGGTCCTGGCCACCATTGCCCCCATTCACCAAGAGGCACTGAATTATCTTGGTGGCGTTTGATCAAACAAATCCCTATGACCGACGTGGAGTGGAGAGGCTTTCATCCAGCAATATAGATTGTAAATAGTAACAAGTCGTGAACTTTGGTTGACAGACGTGGGTCGTGCAGTTTAACACGTAGTAGGCTTTTACGACCAATATTTTTCATAATGAAGATTTTTTGGGTTAGATCGCGTAAGCATAAATGTGTCCTAAACCTCGACCACCCGACACAGCCAACTGGAAATGGATTTGTCACGTAAACATAACGCCAATAAGTTATTACTTCAGCCCATCGGTGTGTTGGAGTGTAAATCCACAACATTTATAATTTGAGTAGAACCGTGACGTTTCGCTGGTAATTACATCCAGCATCATCGGGCGATTTACCAGAATATTGAAGGGCTGTACGTCCGCGTACACAGATCTCGATTGACGCGCCGCTCTTGCTGTTGCCGTGTGATTCATCGCAGCTGAGGCAGCAGCACTGGAGCCTCATCATGGAGAGCGTCGTGCCCTCGGATCGCGGCAACTACACGTGCATGGTGGAGAACCGCTACGGCTCCATCAACCACACCTACCAGCTGGACGTCGTGGGTGAGAGCCCGTCACCACGCCAGGACGCCACGGCACCCCACCTTCCGCACGTTGAAGGCGGCGGAAGGTGGGGTGCCATGGCGGATAGATGTTAACCCCCCTCCTCGCCTGGTATGCAGGAGGTCGTGGGTTCAATCCCGACCCTGACGCCTGCTGCTGTATATTCGGAGGTTGCGTGTTTTCTCTCACCGTGGTCGCGTGGATTATTCTCCGCATCCTCCATGTTTTTCACTCCACTTTTAGAATCAGCGTTCGTTTCGAGTATTTGGCTGCTATACATTTCCGCGAGTTGATAAGCCACGTTGTTGAGCTATCGTTTGTGGGCAGGTAGCTTCTGGAAAAGAGCTACATAGCTCAGTGGGTCTTACCTGGTAAAATAAAAAATAGTTAGCTTTAGGCCAAGACGAACTCTCTCTTCCTGTCAGTTTCTTTTTTCCTCCGGTCGTTTTGTTTCCGGCGTCTGCGTGGCCCTTGGCCCGGGCCCGTGTTTGATTTAAATGTGAATGGTTTTTTTCTACCACCCGCTCAGAGCGCTCGCCGCACCGGCCCATCCTGCAGGCCGGACTGCCGGCCAACAAGACGGCGGTGCAGGGCAGCGACGTGGAGTTCCATTGCAAAGTGTACAGCGACGCGCAGCCCCACATCCAGTGGCTCAAGCACGTGGAGGTGAACGGCAGCAAGTTCGGCCCCGACGGCTCGCCCTACGTGCAGGTCCTCAAGGTGAGGTGGCACCGCCGTTGTCGTCGTCGTCGACGTCGTGCGATCGTTGGGTGACGTCGTCGCGTTAAGTGGCATCCTCTGAATTTTTGTTTTGAAATCCCTCACTACTTTGTCGATGTGTGAGATTTTGGTTTTGCTCCGAATGAGATTTCCGTATCGCAGGTGTCTCTTGCAATAGCAAGATTTGTCTCAATGTGCTCACGTGTCACGTCTCAAGTGTCACGCGCATCCCTTTTTCAATCCACTGCTGGATGAGGGCTTCCACACCGTCGTTGCAGTATTTAGGGATCGTTGTCTCTCCGCACATCTGCCCGTGTGTGTCTCTCCCGTGCCTGTGTGTGCGCCTACTCGTATGTTTTTTTTTTTCCATTTCTCGTTGGGAAAACTAACGTGACGCAATGTTTACACATTCGTGGTTTCTCGTCAGTGAGATGGCTTAATCGGAGTTGGCGTTTCTGAGCGTTGTTTGGAGTAGTGGTGGTAATTTTGTTCAGAAGTGATGCAAATTCCTCGTCGGAGTTAATACAAATATCCTTTAAGTCGCCCGAGGCTTTGAGCTATCTTCGCAGATAAACAAAAAGAAATCCAGAAATTTAAAAATACCTCTCGTTTCCCCATGAATGGCATAGCCTAAAATAAGCAGCCAGTAACATCATAAATTTAAAATAAACGAATTAATAGATTGTTAATTACACATTACAGTCCTCGAAGAGGTGAACAATACATGTAAAAACAGATGTAACAATAACACTGACTTAAAAGTAAAATATACATAAAATAAATTATATTTTGACCTGTGGCCCTTCTTCATATGTGCTATGCAGAAGGCCCATTGCCTGAAATGTCAGGGATCAATATAAATATTCCTGCTAAGACAGTTATCGACGAATGTGTTGAGTGTTTTTGTTGTTTGTGCTTGTGCACCAAATGTTATGAGCAATAAGTGTAGTCCGGTGTTTTGCCGTACTCTGCTGGACAGGCCCCATGCGGCTTCGTGAACACGAATCTAGCCCAGCAGCATTTGATCAACAGGGTACACTGCCGACGATGGCATTGAAATTGGGTAATTTGTTCGAAATAGCCATGCAAGGCCCCTTTGTACTGGGGTAACGCTATTCATTCCGATATTATGAAGCCACTGGAGCTATACACGTTTAAACAATCTCGATTGATAACTCATTTATTTTTTAGAACTGCTTTTCGCGTTCAGTTTGTTGTCATTCCCCCGCACCTCCGATTAGCGCGGTTGGCTACGTGCGGTGTGAAAGAAGTTCAACACACACACACATCTTGAGGGAGGCTTGAGTGCGGACGTTGGGGAGTAGAGGGTCCGGCGAGGGCTGTGGACGTGCGTTCCCACTCACGGCGCCGTGCGTCGACGTGCGTCCGCGCGTGCCCATCGCTGATGCCTCCCCGCCCCCCCCCCCTCCGACCACCCCACGTTCGTCTCTCCCCGTTTTCCCCAGAGCTCGGGGTTAAGTAGCCCCGACGTGCAGGCGCTGCGCCTGCGCAATGTGTCGATGGGCGACGGTGGCCAGTACGCCCGTAAGGTCTCCAATTATGTAGGCGAGGCCAGCCAGTCGGCGTGGCTCACAGTCCTCGGCCTGTCGCCAGGTAACGGCTTGGGCCTTCTGCCCCTTCTGCCCTCCGCTGCCCCGGCAGCTGTCCCTGCTGATCCCCTCGGGAAGGCAGGGCTTTCTTCAGTTGGTGTTTGTGCTGCAGGGATACTCGCTGGGACTCCTGTGCTTTTTGTCGTTGTCGTCGTTGTCGTCGTTGTTGTTTTGAGCCAGCTCGGAACGAGGCCGAAATGAGCCGGCCTGTTTCGTGCGGGCGGCCTTGTCCCAACGCAGGGGCTTGCGGGAGGTTGCCAGGTGGCTTGCTGCAAGCGCAGGTGGCTTGTGGGGAAAATGCTTTGGCTCTTGTGTGACATGCGGAGGAAGGCTTGGACGCAGGCAGATGGAAAAGTGAGCCGGTGAACAAGCAGCTGCGCAGGATGCAATGCCGCGAGTGCGAGGCGGCCGCTTGAATGAGATGCACGGAATCAGCCGGAACGGCATTAGTGGCATTGATTTTTAATCGATTATTTTCAACGAGTGCATAGATATGCACACACATGTCCGAGGGGGCCCGGTGCAAGCTAAGCTTCGTGTAAATCGTTTAGTGCATTTCCAAGCAATCAACCGGGGAGTGTTGTTTTCTTTGGTTTTGTGGCGATCTCACAGCATTTGGGCAAGAGTGATGAGCGGTCTGTTGTGAAGAATCAGTTCGTTCATCAATTAATAATTAGCCTTCAAAAGAAAATGCCAAAAGGGAGCCGATGCGTGTGCGAGCTCTTGGCCACCGCTCGCTTGCTCTGCTCGTCTTCGTATGCGGCGGCGCTGGATCCTGGCTGCGGGGTTGTTTGCAGTTCCCTTTGTGCTTCTGAGCAACTGCCACGAGATCTCATGACCTCTTGCCCGGCAAGACCAAACAAAGGATTATCTTCCATCTGCAGGATATATCCGCACTTTCATGCCACTAACAGGGCCTCTTAATGGTCACTTAAAAGACCAATTATAATCTTAATCGTTGTTTTTGTGTGTGTGTGTGTTAATGTGTGGCACTCGTGGTTTGGCCATATGGCAACGTTAGTGGCTGTTAATATGATCCCAGACAAAGCATTTACACCGTCCCTTTACTTATTTAATTAATTCACTTATCCGCCCTCGGCCATTTGTTCACATGGGGCACATTTCCACACATGGTCTCGTCTCGCACGTGATCGCGTGGCGCATAGGTGAGTGTGTCGCCAGGCTGTGAATCTGCTGTGGGCACAGCGCCGCAGCCGATTGAAGCTTCGGACCTTTTTGCTCTCTTGGGAGTGGTTGAGGTGGACATTGACCAGTCGCCGTAGTTCATTTGCAAAAGAAACATCCCCAAATTATAGTAATGCGCATATTTGAGCCAGCTCCATCGTTCATTGATAAATTCTAAACTTGCAGATTATAAACGTAAACGTCAAGCCACTGCTGGATGAAATCAAATAACCCCCATAACTGTAAAAGTGTCAGTTATGTGGGGGTTGTTTGACCATACTTCACTGCACTTATTAGTGTGCATTGGCAAGGACCCACTTCAGATATCCCTCTCCACTGCCCATGGGTAGCCGTGGCCAGGAATTGAACCAAGCTCGCCGGCTGCGCATCGCGACGCGTTAAATTCCGCGCCAATACATCGATTGGCCGGCCGATCGTGGCCAAATCTCCCATTACAGTTTCATTTTATGTTGTTGCTCAAGCGACGAGCACATTAATTGAATTAATAAAAAACACACGTAATGAGCGCGACGAGCACGGATCGCGCGGATGGATCTCCGGAATGCAATCGCCGCTGCGGTTTCGTTAGACGCTCGAAGCCCCCCCCCCCCCCCCCTTGGCGCTGTGCGGTGTCCCCCTCCCCGAAGCCGAACCGCGTCTCGGCGTGCCCGACCTGCTGCGCCGTGCCCGTGCGTGTCCACTCGTGACCGGCGGGCGGCAGCTCCTTCTTTAATCTCGCCCTCTGTTCTTCCTTGTTTTCGTTTCTTAATTTTTTGCCTCCGACTCCCCCCCCCCCCTTTGCCAACCCTATCGCCCCCCCCCCCCACCACCCACATTGTAGACGGCCGGAGTGAACACGACAGACAAAGAGATCGAGGTGCTGTACTTGTGGAATGTCACCTTCGAGGATGCTGGAGAGTACACCTGCCTGGCAGGGAATTCTATCGGGTTCGCCTATCACACTGCTTGGCTAAATGTCGTGCCAGGTACTTTCTGAGCTTTTCTCCACGTGCACCTCGACCCCCCCCCCCACCCACCCAGTGTGTGTGTTTTTGGGTTCATTGCGTATACTCCAGGGTTCCCTCAAAGTCCATTTCCTCGCGACCCACAAGGGGTTACGTCATTCCGAGCTTTTTGCCGATGTGCCTATACTATTAAACTAAAACGTTGCGGGCGGATGTGCACGTCCGCTCGCACGCGCGCCCGACGATTTGCTAAATCGCGTGCCTCGCATGGCGCGGAGATAGTGGGTTCAAATTAAAGTGAAGACCTTTGTGCTGTGCGTACGTGTGCGTTTCACGTGGTGGTGCGTAACGGCTGAAATTGATCAGCTCCTCGCTAATTCATATGGGACGCGCTTGGAAACCATCAGATACGTGCGGCGTGTAACATTTACATTTGCAATTAAAAGGGAATAATTTGTTGTACTGGAAAAGATGAACCGTGATCCGTAGCAAAGCGTGGATTTCAGAACCACCGTGGATTCGTCTCGCGTGTTACTTCTGCGTGACTGTGTCTTGTTTCGGTGTCTGGGTCTGCCACCCAACAACGTTATAATCGCACGACTTTGCCGCGTCGTTTGCCAATTTGAAGCGTTGCCAACACTGCTGCTGCTGTTCATCACGGTTGTGATGTTGCTTTTTTTGCGATCCGCTCACTTCATTCGTTTAGTTAACGACAGTTAAAGGTTCGCAAACGGTGACGGTTCCGAAAATATGCGTAGGCGGTGGCGACCCTAATTTATATTTGCGTTTGCAAATTCAAACGGCAAATGAAAACCCCAAAATAATAACATAGAGGGTATCATAAAAAAATGCACTCGCATACATGTTACGACAGCAAGCCCAAAGTCTACTAGGTTCATTTACATTTTTGTTTGTTTCGAGTGGCAAATTACTCCAGCAGTGCTATCTACTTGATTATGAGAAAATCTCTTGCCACTACACATGCGGTGAGAAGCGATTGTTCAGGCCCTGCTGCTTCAATCTCAGCCATGACAATTGTTTTGACAAGGCATCATTTGATCCGTAATGATTCACTAAACCCACTGCCGTGCTGGCAGGATGCTCATTAATAATTAACGCATTTTAACCACATTCAAACACTCGAGCGGCTCGGTAGCAAGGGGATGTGATTTGCCGCATTCTTTGGGTCTTTCGGTAAAGTCACGTAGATAGGTTTAAAGAAAATAACAAAAAAAGAAAATAACAAAAAAAATACTTTTTTGTTATTTTATTTGACCGAAAGACCCAAAGAATATGAATTCCTGCAGTCACGAAAGCTTTAAGTCAAGATTTTATTTGCCACACTTGATAAATGTTCGTGGTGCACATATTCTACCAGCACAGCAATAATTAACTTAGTGGGGGCAAGGAAAACAACTGCGCTTGTTCCATCTTCTCTGCCTTCCAGTTGTCCGAATTCTGACCCGTTTCTCTAGTGCCAGTCTTGATAAATCGACAGCACAATCGGCCAATCGCATTGCTCCAAACCTGGAATCTGCCGCAAAAATAAGAGGCAATCTGCCGGGGATACTTCCGAAGTTATGCAGGAGCTCTGTGATTAAAATTGACAGCGCGGCGGGAAGCTAGCGCCTGGAGCTGGAGCGATGAATGGACAAATAGCGTCGGGTGTGCACGGAGCGTGCCGGCACGGATTTCCATCTGCGCTGGCCCGGAATGAAGCCTCAACAGTTTCCAAATTCCTCGCTCAGCAAGCCGCCCCTAGGCCACTGATTTTCAAAGAGCTTAAACGGCCAATAGGCAGCTTTTAAAGCCACAGTTTACCGGGCACATTTAGCGCATTGTTGCACACGAGACCCCGGGTCGTGCTCGGCTGGATTCAGAAGCTTTTAAAAACAGCGTGACTGCAGTGTGACTAACGGTGCAAGAGTTTTAACAGATTTGTGTTTGGCTGAAAGGAATACGTTTTGTTTACGTTTGTTTAATTTGTAGGCAGGTAATGATTTAGCACTACCGCTTGCTTCCAGAATTGACGCGATTCGTGGTGGTTCTGATTGGGGGGCACGATTCAACTCTTTATTTAAGTAGAGGTTGAGAATGAATGCACGTTTTGCACGAACCAATTAAATTCAACCTGAAAGATCAAAAGTAATTGGTTCTGATGCACGTGATTGGATGAATTTATCTTGAGCATCGAAATACATTTTTTGTCAATGAATCAACGCATCGTTAAATGTTTTTTTTTTACTAAATAACACAATACAAGCTGAAAGTGGAGCTCAACATTGCAGTCTCAAACCACAACTCCCGTGTCAGTTAGTCCCATATTGCTGCTGATGCTACATAAAGCGCCGTTTATAGTCCACGCAACCCAATTTCTCTGTTTTGTACAACAGCGAAGTTCATCTGTTCTTTGCTGCCATGGAACAAGCATTTGCAATTGGCAACAAGGCGCAAAATTGTTGCTCGCACATGTGAGCGGATGCCATCCTCCTGTGCTCGCTTGTGTCGATTATCTTTTGCGATTGCTTCACCAGTTAAACGTACTCGGGGTGTGGAACCGCTTGCTTGCTTAAAAATGTAATAAGCTCGCTTGGAGTTTATGTAATGAAACAAATAATAATTATGTTAAAGAGCAGTGGCTTCATGTCAATCGAAATGCGATTGACGTTGATGGTCAACGCGTCCGCGGCTCGTCGATGTGCTGAGCGGCGGCGCTGTGGCTTGCACGAGCGCTTTGGAAGCCGACTTGCGGTCGTTTCGCGTCGCCCTGCGACGTCTTCCTGGGCTGTCCCCCGATTATTCTTCGGCACGATGCCCGACGTTTGGCTCAATTTTGTGCGCCTTATAAATGCCAATTATTATTAGCACGTGGAGCTAAGCGTCGGCCATCATGCCGAACGGCACGTGGTACAATCAGAAAAAAACACATCAGAGAGCTACTGTCCGATGTGTTTTGGGAAAGCTGCCTCTTTGGTTTGGTGGAGTGGAACTCAATGCAGACGTACACAACATCACTGACCCTTCTGTGTCCGTGGCCTCACAAGCATCCACCTTGCCTGAGCCATGGCACGGCTGGAGTCTGTGATTGAATCGTGATGTTGCCACTGCGAACTCTACATAGACCCACGGTCTCTCCTGACCCAGCCACCGATGTCAACGCTGTCTATACAACGAAAGCCTCTGAAACTCTGCACGAGACTGAATAACCAGATGGCCTTGTTGTTGTGACCTTGGGCATCCAAACACACATTTGTGCTGCAAGCGGCTGTGAATACTTACACATTAAAATGCAATCATATGTATTAAAAAGAATCCCACATCCGCTCCCTTCCCTACACAAGCCACGGTGAAGGAGTTGAGGGACAGCGGCTCACTGGACCCCATGTACACGGAGATCGGCATCTACTGCACCGGCGCACTGCTGCTGTGCCTCATGCTCGCCGTGATGCTGCTCTACCGCTGGAGGCACGCGGCCACCAAGAGCCTCCCCGAGCCCAAACTCTGCAAGCTCTCCAAGGGCGTTCCGCTCAAGCAGCAGGTGTGTACAGGCCCAGAGTTGGGTCATCGCAGCGGGCTTCTAGTGTTGACGGGCCCAGGGCCGGGTCATCACAGGGGGCTTCTGGTGTGCACGGGCCCAGGGCCGGGTCATTACAGGGGGCTTCTGGTGTGCACGGGCCCAGGGCCGGGTCATCATAGGGGCCTTCTGGTGTGCACGGGCCCAGGGCCGGGTCATTGCAGGGAGCTTCTGGTGTGCACGGGCCCAGGGCCGGGTCATTGCAGGGAGCCTTCTGGGGCTGCGACCAGTGCTCTCGGAGATTTGGAGGGGAAGGGCGGCCCCCCCCCCCAAAAAAAACTATCAATGCTGCTTTATAATCGGGGGGCAGGGGAGTGGGAGGTGGGGCAGGCTGGGGCCGTAGGTTCCGCTCCCCGCATGCACGCCGTCTCGGGTCTCGCGCGACCGCGTGTCCGTCGTGTGCACTCCGGCGCAGGTGTCCATCGACTCGAGCTCGTCGCTGACGTCGCACACGCCGCTCGTGCGCATCACGCGCTGCTCCTCCAGTGACGGCGGGGGGCTGCCCGGGGTCTCCGAGTACGAGCTGCCGGAGGATCCCCGCTGGGAGTTTCCGCGCGACAGGTGTTTTGCCATTTCACAGCAACATCAATAACGTTGGGAAAGTGGTGTAGCCGTTAAGCAGAGGTCGGCGCGCCGTGCTACTTTGCACGTCGGTGACGTGGCTCAGCCGTAGCGCATTCGCCACCGGTTGCAGAGGTTCATGGCTTGCATCAAAGTGGCCGCCCCGGTTAATACTGTGTAAGCATGAAAAACACGCTCCGTCTGCTTTGCAGTGGATGTTTAAGATCCCGTGGATGTCGCTCGAAAGAGCAGGCTATTGTGTGCCGGGCGTCAACGTCCACATTTTTACAAACTCTCAGCAAAATACTCAGTTGGAATATACGTAGCAATCATCAACTCCGACTCGCGCCATATGCTGGGAGCTTCTTCAGAAACTGTTGGAGCTCAGGACATGAATATTCAGTTCCTGAAGAAGCTCGTGAAGTAAAATGTCGGACATCATGCCAAACAACAGACAATACCGCGGAGACCTACGCGGCAGTATAAGTGGTCCTTGAACCCTCCTATGTCATTCGACTTGTATAGAATGCATTGCATTAAAGGAGGAACTTACAGGGTGCTTCAAAAAAATTAACACTTCCGATAATTTGCAACAATTCTACAAACAATGTGCCTCCGGGCTCTGGAGACCACCTGGGGACAATGATGGCGAGCAAGTGGAGACTCTTTGACTTTTTGAAGCTGTTAACATACTATTGTTATCATGTTACAGTGTAGTATTATCCATTTTCTTTTCAATTAAAAACGATCGTCCCATTTAAGTGTTAACATTTATTTGAAACACCGTTTACGTATATAAAACAACAAAGCTCCCCCGTATAGACTGTTGGGGCAAGTGCTGTTAGCGAGCACCTTTCAAGGCCAGCACGGCACACGAGGGGGTGGGTGGCCAACACCACGCCCGGCCGCTTTTGTCTCCCCAGTGGCAATGTTTTACACACCGCACCAGGTACTCATTTTGAGGATGAGTCGACCTTGGGTACGCCCAGGACCGGTTCAGATAATCGTAACTAGTGTTGCCCGTGAGCAAGAATCGAACCCAGGTCGCTAGGTTCATAGATCAGCGCGCGAACCAGTAAACTACCACTCCCCACTATATATACACACACATGAATTGCAAACAGATCAATAACCGAGAGTATCAAATGTGCAGAAGGTTGTTACTAATACGCTTCCTGCTATTCCGCCCACCCACCCACCCACCTTCTGCTGCTCTCCCTGCTGTCCCACGCCCTGACCATGGCTGCGTCGGTGCTCAGGCTGACTCTGGGAAAGCCCCTGGGCGAAGGCTGCTTCGGACAGGTGGTGATGGCCGATGGGCTCGGAGTTGACAAGGAGAAGCCAAACAAGCCGGCCACTGTGGCCGTCAAGATGCTCAAGGGTGGGTGTCGTGTGGTGCGGTGGAGTGGGTGTCGTGTGATGTGGTGTGGTTGGGGCGTACGGCGCAGTGTCAGTCTGTAAACGTCGTTGTGCCCTCGCGTGCGGTCGGGCTGGCGGCGGGATGCTCTGTCCGTTTTCCCGATCGATCAGCAGCGAGTCTGATGGACGGATGTTCTAAAGTGCAGGTGTGTTTATTGTAGCTATTGGCAAGTAGTTGATATTTAAAACCTCGGTTGTGTTCATACAAACCAGCCAGCATTAATCCATAGCCCGTTTTGGAAACTGATCTCATCTGCTGGCAAGCGTGGTGTGTTCACACAGTGATTTTTTTTGGGACAAATTAAGTAAACCTTCAGACGGCATCGCGTATAATTACAAGTAGCATATCGGAGTGGACCAGTGCATCGCAGGAGAGTCACTCTTAAACATATCGTGGGGTTTCTAGGATTGCGGAACATATCGTTTGGGGAGGGAAGGAGTAGTTGCTCGGAGGTCACAGCAGCACCCTCAGATCTGGACTCGGGTTCGCAGAGTGTTCCGCGTGAACCCAGCCGCAATCGAGGTACGAAAGCAGACTCGCAAAAAAGAAACGCTGTGCGCACAGCCTCGAGCTGGCAAAACACAGGACAGCGGCAGGGCGCGGAGGGATGGACAGAAGGCAGGAAAAAAAAAACATACGGTGGGGATTTAGAGCTTGTTCCGTCTGGACACAGCCCCGGGCCGCGGCATTGTTGGTGGTAGCAGCGCAAGAGGTAATGAGCTGAAAATGAGGGGTTTTTTTCCTTCCCCGGGTGTGCGGAGAAGAGAGGCCGGCAGAGAGAGAGGGTAATTATGGGTAATGAGGGGTTGCGGGGGCGGTGGACCCGCCGGTGAAAATCGCATTTGTTCCTTTTGTCTTCCCGAAGGGCGGCGGTGTAATGCTGTAATTTCCGAAAGCCTCTTCGGCAACAGAGCCCGCTTAGCACTCGTGTAATGACCTCTGATTAAACGTTTTCTTCTGGAGCGATGAGAGTGCCACTATTTTGGGTGCAGCGGCGGGGTTCAGGCCGGGTGATGGCGGTTGATGGACTCGTTGGCCAATTTGCCGTCACGTTTCTATTTTAGTAATTGACTCCCATCCCGTCAGGGTGAACGGCGAGTGATCTCGTTGGCTTTGCCCGCTGTTTTGCCGCACATAATTTTTCCCAAACATTTAGCACCGCAGTGCAGCTTGCCTTTTTAATGAAGCACAGCTGTAAGTCAAGCTCAATTGGACATTTGATTTTACAGGAAAAAGCATACTTAAGCATTCCGCGTCTGTGTTTAGCAATGAAACCCTCAAAACGAAAATGAACAATGCATTATTCTCGGTATAATTATGCAAAATACAATTAAATAACAAAAAATGCATATATTACATAGAGAATGTCATTACAAATATTTTTCGACAAGGAGTTAAAAACAATCCCTAACTTTTATAATCACCCTAATATATTGTTGGTAGTTTTGTACTCATTGTCAAGCACAGTTATAGATGACAGTAAGTAATTGTTGGTTGTGATTTAATCTTAATTGAACAACAGCTCTGTATTCTTATGCACGTTATACAGTGCATGTGTCGCTGGCATAACAGATAACTTTTAATCGATTAAGCAATGCATCGTTGAATACCGAACCCACGAGGCCTTGCCTAGATTTCTCTCTGTGCCATACTTGGGTACATTTAACCGCGAGGCTTCGGCCGGTCGCGACGGCGTCATTGAAATGAGAAATGTTGTTGATCCCCGCGTGGCTGCAAGTTCTAACGAGAACGTGCGCTCTGCGTTGCAGACGATGCCACGGACAAGGAGCTCTCGGATCTGGTGTCCGAGATGGAGGTGATGAAGATGATAGGAAAGCACAAAAACATCATCAACCTTCTGGGAGCCTGCACCCAGGATGGTGCGTGGCGGCGTCATCGCGGGCAACTTGCCAACGAGAATTCAGAGCAACAGTGCGCCGCTGTCAGTTTTGTGGTTTGTTGCGAGGCCAATGCATTTGTTTTAAGTGGTTTGTTACATGTGGCTAAAGCTCTTCTCCGTTAATTATATCTTATCTGCTGGCATTGCAAGAAAATAAATCACAGGACCCGTGTTGTCTGCTATCAATGATCGTGGATATCAGCAAATGGTAACGATAAAAGAGCTCGTTTTGATGAAGGATAAAGGGCTCAAAGTTAAGAGCTGGCCACGCAGCACATTTGTTAAGAGCACACAGCTCAATTGTAACATCCTCTTCGGGCATTGGGTCAGCCCCATCATCCATTTGTGGATCAATACAATGAGTACCTGTAGGAAGTCCTCAGTGGCTGTTCTATGCTATGACTCACTCCCACTATAAGCATGCGGAATTCATACCCACAGGCTCCTGACCTTGTAATAACTCTGTTTATTTGTTGTTATTTTTATTACTGTAATTAGAAAATTATGCTGTGGCGGTGAAACGGTTAGCGCACTGTGCTTTCAATATAGAGATCGATTTATCTATTTCAGTGTTCTTCATTGCAAGGCCAGCACGGACCACTGGCGGCCACTGGCGGCCTTTAATGCGGCCCCCGAATATACACAAATGTGAAAAAAACCCCCATCGTGCTGTCAAACCCAATAGTTTCAAATGCGTGGTGGCACTCACACTGACGTCTTATCGGCGAAAGTGGCACCCCCCTCTGAAAATGCGTGAAGAACGCTGATCTATTCGATCTCCTGGCGGCGAGAGAATTAAAGCAACGGTGCGGGTTTCTAAAATCCTCCGCCCCTGTGCACTCCAGCGGTATGAACGCAATACACCACAGTTAGCCGATGGGCAGGTCGCTTGTGATGGGGTGGGTACTCTCACCTCGTACAAGACGTCCGGCCAGCTTGACAGCGCCTAGCCCTTCCGCCAGTAGTGATGTGAGCTAGCAATTGCAGGGCTGCACCTTTCACCCTTTTGTTTCACGGTTTAAAAAGAGCGGCATTTGACAAGCAGGGGACCGAGAGTGACACGAACAACCCCCCACCCCCGCTCGTTTTCTGCGTGCCGGTGCTGCGGCGCAGGACCCCTGTACGTGATTGTGGAGTACGCTTCCAAAGGGAACCTGCGGGAGTACCTGCGGGCGCGCCGACCCCCGGGCGTCGGCTACTCGTTCGACCCGATCGGCTACAGCGATCCGAGCGAGCAGCTCACCTTCAAGGACCTCGTGTCGTGCGCGTACCAGGTGGCGCGCGGCATGGAGTACCTCGCCTCCAAGAAGGTGCCCCCCCCCACCCTAACTCCGCACTGCCCCTCCCCCCGCCGCCGCCTTCGCTCTGCCCCTCTCGACGCCGTGCACCACATCGTCCGTTGTAGTCACGTTTCCCACGTGTTGACTTGCTGACGCGGTGGCGAGATGCTCTATATTTAGAAACACGCGTTTAGGGTATTTGGCTGCTTTCAATTTTCCAAATGAGGGCCAGGTCGCTTCTGATAAAGAGCTACATAGCTCGGTGTGCCGTACCTCGTAAAAAATACAAAAAATAACAATAATAATAATCAACACTGGATGAGGGCCTCTGCCGTACCGTGTGGGCATCGGGGTGAGTCTATCATACTTCAGCTCTGGTCAGTATGGGTTGGTGACATTGGGGAACGTTGACGTTGGAGTGTTCAAGCACAGTACAACAAATTTATTTTGTTTGCGCCGCCCTTCCGATGCCCACAAACGTAGCACAGCGCGACAGATACCCGTGACAACCTGCCGTGCATGGCGGTCGCCCATCCAAGTACTATCCAGGCTCGACTCTGCTAAGTTTCCGAAATCTAATGAGGTTTAGATGCATTCTGGGTGTCTTTTGCTCTAGGCACAGAGCAAATGAACACGTGGAAAAAATACATTACGACTCCCATCACGTACAAACGCTGCCTAGTAAAATTTAGCATGGCTAAGGAACATTACTCACTCAGTGGCAGAGCGGTGGTGCAAAATTGCTGCCCCTACTGTTTGATGCAGAGACAACTCTGTGATCTCCGCTTCTGTGAGCCGTTTCGCTTACACCAAGGATTGCAACCGCTCTGCCGCAGATTTCAGTTGATGCTTCGTCTCGCGACATAATGCCGCGAGCACAATCTGGATAAAATTTTGTAAAATGTAAAAAAAAGCCAAGAAGGAAAACAATGTTTCGCGTGGTATTGCCCTCAAACTCAGACATATGATATGGTGCACCTTTTTCCATTCATATGCAAATTAACCGACTACACACTGTGTCGACCTGATGGTAATCGAGAAAACATGTGGACTGGGGTTAGAGACACACTCCCCTAAATTATGTGAACTCCACTGTCTGCCTGTTTTGTCCCTCAGCAGAATGTGTGTTTAGAAGCCACTGAATTTCTCTACATCCCATGGGCATGCGCATTCAATCGTGAAAAATGTTTTTTTTAGCTCAGTGTTTGTGGATTATTCTTCCCTTGGAACTGAAAAAAAAACCCGACTCCTTTTCTGCCTTTTGAAAGGGCCCGGCCAAAATGTCAAATGAATTGCTCTCTGAGGCCTCTTCCCCTGGCTCTTTCTAAGGCACTCTTGGATCTAAAGCACAGGAAAAATTGTGCCACCTGCCCAACCCCCCCCCCCCCCACACTTCTATATAGGACCCTGCAGAGTCCAGTCGCATTACACTTGCGAGAGCAGGAGAGGGCACACCGTTGCCTTGCTGGCAAGCGCAGAGTTGTCTTGCTCGCAAGCGCACGGTTCTCTTGCGCCCGGGCGCCTCCCCGAGACTAAAACTCCGTCTCCTCGTGTCCGCCAGTGCATCCACCGCGATCTGGCGGCACGCAACGTCCTGGTCACCGAGGACAACGTCATGAAGATCGCAGACTTCGGCCTGGCCCGCGACGTGCACAACATCGACTACTACAAGAAGACCACCAACGTGAGTGGCGCCAACACTCGGTCAAACGTCGCTTGAATTCGGACGATGGCTGTACAGCCACGGATTATTGAATCCATGTGTGTGGGGGGAGCTTCGAGATTTTAATTCTGCGCTACGTATTGGTTTTCTCTGGGTACTCTGCTTATCGTCAATATGACAAAGACAGAGTATTCATGGAATTAGCAAATAATCCTGATGTTGGACCCTTCTGAAAACGAGTGTTGAAATTAGGTGAGGCTTTACTGGATAAATAGTGAGTTCGTTTTTGTATTTGTATTTCCAAATTCAGGTCTAATTTATCAAAGATGATGTGCAGATCCACTCCATTGAATGGAGGTCTGAGGGCAATAAGTAAAACGAATTTTCAAAGTACATGACAAATATTGTGTAAGGTTAATGAAACCAAACAAATTGAGGGTATTAATTTTGGCTACACTCACTCGCTCTGTTGGCTCTGGATCTTGTCTTTGGAGCGCTGTGTATTTTAAAATTCAAAGTACCAAAACATTTAATTAAATCACCACATTTTATATACACTTACAAATGAGAGTTCAAACGGTGCGACATTTCTTACAAATATGTGGAGCTTTCTTTTTTTAGTTAAACAAATAAACCCCCCCTCCCCCTCGGAATTAATGAATGCCCAACACTGCAGGCAAAAACTGTTGAATTTCAATTTAAAGCGCCCCGTGTTGTATTTTTGTAGATTTTTTTTTCGACAACCCCTTCTCCCACGTCTTTTGAATTAACGTACGCGCGGATTCCAGAGGAATAATATGCCTTCTGTTTCCCGGTGCTGGCAGGGTCGACTGCCCGTCAAGTGGATGGCGCCCGAAGCACTGTTTGACAGGGTGTACACCCACCAGTGCGACGTGTAAGTTACCGCACGCGTGCGCGCGATCGCAAGCGCCGGCCGGCCGGCCGGCTGGCTCACGCGGCCCGCCAATGCACAGCCAGTCACTGCGCACTCGCAGCCACAATTACAGACCTTACGGAGGCCACCTGCACCGACGATGCGTCTCGGCTAAAGGAGACCGAGAACCAGCCTTTTTGTATTAGGCAATTAACCAATTAATTTTACAGTATTTTGAAACAAAATAAAGAAGCAGACACGATGCCTACTCCCCCCATATTGGTCTTTCCACATGTAATTTTACACATCGCATAGGCCACATGGCCTTTTGGGAGTGCATATTTTCAAAATTATACAATAAAAAAACTCTGGACCGGGTTCAACGCTCAGTGTGTCACTCTTTGGTCTGTATTATAAAACAGCTTTTTGTTACGGCCAAGTTTTCACTGAATAATTTCCGGGTCACTGGTGAACCAGGAGGTGGCACGTGATGAGTAGCCGCAGCCATAGCGGGAAATTTGTCAGGGTCAAGGACAGGTCAGAGATAAAATAATTTATTTTTATTTCAGGAATCAAATTCACTCCGGTAAACTTAGTAAGAGTAGACTGATCTCAACTTCTTAGCCGACTAATCTCATTCATGACAATCGTATAAAACACCGCAGAAAACCAGTCGGCTGGAAACCGATCTTTCTCTAACGTTATTCATTTTATTATTTGACCGAATAATTTAATGCAACAAAATGCTTTCCAGCGCATGAAAAAAAAGAATCAATGGAATGCGGGGGGTGGATGACTGTTTGTTGGGGAAAGGACGGTGGTGCAGGAACGGAGGGCCAGAGTAGTGTCGGCTTTGGAGGAAAATGTGAGAGTGAGCTCTGTGTGTAGGGAGGATCTGGTTCGAATTCCCCTGCAACAGCAGCAGCAGCAGCTGTATCCTTGGAGAGGGATTGCATGGCAATGCTCTGGAATATATTTTTTATAAATATATATTGTAATTTAATCGCCACTCAAATCCAACTTTGCTGAAACTGCTGGACTCAATTGTATGTTTTCTAGCTCATGATGCGAGGATTGGGAATGGTTTTATATAAAACTGGTGCCCACGGGTGAACAACGCATCTTGATATGATATTCTTAATGTTAGACTGCATGCACTAAGCCTATAACAATTAACTCTCCTTCGCGATTTGATAAATTATCACAATTTTAGGTCATGATTTTATTTATAAACCTAAGGGTTGTTTTCTTCTCAGAGTGGAGAATGTTGCTGCCTCTAGTGGCAATAGGGGTAAAGCCAAGTGAACCCATTATATGGAAGACAATATAAAATAATAGATTTCTATACACACAATTGGATGTGTGTAACATGAGCATAAGAATTAACATTGATGAACCTACACAATTTACCACCAATGTGATAAACATGCAAATTTCGATGGCACCCCAAATATACACCAAGCTGATCGCAACCGACGGTGGAGTTTAGAACGGACGATGACCCTGGCCAAGGTCGATGTTGAGATAGGGCCCAGGACGAGCGGCTGTTTGGCCATGTTGCGGTGGTGGCACATCGACGGTGCTCTCGCGTGGGTGCTTGCAGATGGTCGTTTGGAGTTCTTCTGTGGGAGATCTTCACTCTGGGTGGCTCCCCATACCCCGGCATCCCAGTGGAAGAGCTCTTCAAGCTCCTCAAGGAAGGACACCGCATGGACAAGCCCAGCAACTGCCCCAACGAGCTGTACGTTGACGCTTGCACAGGCGGACGAATGAGTGGGAGTGCGCGGTGGTGTAGCGGTGAGCGCTACGCTGCACTATGAACCCGGCGACCCGGGTTCGATTCCCGCTCACGGCCAACACCCAGTGACGATTATCTGAACCGGTTCTGGGCCTCTCCTAGGTCGACTCAGCCTCAAATGAGTACCTGGTGCGGTGTATAAACATCGCCACTGGGGAGACAAAGGCGGTCGGACATGGTGCTGGCCACCCACCCCCACCGTTGCGGCCTTCATAGGTGCTCACTAACAGCACTTGCCCCTACAGTCTGTTAAGGCTATACGGGGGGGTCTTTGTCTTTGTATGCAACACAATGCAATAATACAACACGTAACATGTGGCCAAATCCTCGGATCTGGTTGAAATTGCCGTGACAACTGATTATAATCTCAGTGCAGGGGGAATATTTGCCCGTTCATCTACAGGGAGCTCGATTGTGCGCCATGACACGAGCTTAAGCGTGCGGTGTGCGTGCGTGTCTGCTGCAGGTATATGATCATGCAGATGTGCTGGGCAGCCTCCCCATCGCAGAGGCCCACCTTCAAGCAGCTGGTGGAGAGCATGGACAGGATCCTCACACTCAGCTCGCAGGAGGTACTTGGGATTACGCAATTATGTGCGGCGAGATGCAGTCACACAATGCTGTTGCAGTGACAGCACCGCCCGCGGTTCACATTGAATAAAGATTAAGAGATTGGGCCAGGCTACAGTGCCTTGTAAGCCACAACACAATTGAAATGTAGAAGCTACCATTATCAACCACTTACAACAGGGGGATTGATCATGGCTGATGATGACAGTGTCTAAATTTCACCGCATCTCAAGATGCTGTCCAGAAACAGTGGGCACTTTTATTTTTTATTGGCAGTCAGTCATAGGCAGAGAAAACAAAACGAAAGCGTTGAGTCTGCACTTTGAACAGGGCCCACGGGCAGCAGAGGAGAACGAGGGGCCTCTCAATGTGCGATGGTTGACTGGGGGCTTCGATAAAAAATATTGGTTTTGCTGGATTGGAAAGTGCGTGCTGGGTCGTAGAGTGTTGACACATAATGTGGACAGGTTGACGGGGGCGAATCCATGGAGAATCTTGTGGATGGTCACCGCGATCTTAAAATTGGTTAGATCAGGTGCCGGTGTAGCGATCGGAGTATCGGAGTGACGTGGTCCCGTTTACGGGCACGGGTGAGATGTCAGGCAGCGGCCATTTCGCGATCATCCGCAGCTTGGAGATGAGGCATTTGGAGAGGCTGCAGAACAGAGAGTTGTGATTGTCGGGTCACAATTATGACAAGTACACGGATGAGTATCTCAGGAGTTAGTTGGGGCTCAGGTAAACAATGGGCGCGAGAGACGTCGCCCATGTGGACGCCGCTAAAACATCGCGTTGTCTCGACTGCCACCTCGTGACAGGAGTACCTGGACCTGTGTGCCCCACTGGAGCAGTACTCCCCCAGCTTCGCGGACTCCAACAGCACGTGCTCCTCCGGGGACGACTCGGTGTTCGGCCACGAGTCCGTTCCGCCCGTGCTCATCGGCCCTCCGCTTCCACCCCCGAAACCGGCGCAGCCCGAGGAGGGCTTCACTCAGGAGCTGCCGCTCGCCGAGCCAAACCCGCCGCGCCAGCCGCCCCAGCGGACGTAACTCCGTCAGGCGGGGCGGAGCGGGGGGGGGGGGAGTGCGCTGGCAGTGCTGCCTGGGTTCGGTTTGGTCGTGCGACCTCGTTTGCCCTGGGTGCCCACGTGCACCAACATGGGCCCAAAACGGCCCCACTGGGGCTGGTATGTTCACGAGGACCCTGTGGACCGTGTGCCACGTTGCCCCTGTGTAGGCCCTGTGTCTCACCCACGCTGATCCGGTCCAGATGAATTGTGTCCAGCAGCTGTAAGCTTAACTGTTCTTTCTAACCGATGATGGTGATTTACCCTCGGTTGAACGTTTCATCCGAATTTTATAAACTTAAACCACGCTCCTTACGTCTCGTGTAAATTTGGATTTAGATCTTCTAAATTCTGCGCGTTTGACAACTTTCCAACATACTTTCGTATAATTGAGTAATGCTACCTTGAAGCTTAAACGTTAATACGTAATACGTACCTTTCTTTAAGCCTATGAATTATTTTTGCTGCTACTGCAGATGGTGATATATGCTGGTGTATTGTTTTTTTTTGGTAAGCAATCATGCACGAGGACTGTGGGAGTGCCACTTCTTTTTAAGTTATGTTGTGAAGACATTGGCGCCATTTGAAGATGCCTCCTACTGCTCGAAACGGTCGCGACTTGGACTTGAATGAACTTTGCTCGAGGAAAAAAATAACGAAACCCAGTCAACGTCTCGGGTTAAAGACATTGCAGATGGGCGTCAAAAGTCAACCCCTTCACACTTGAGCGTGGGCTGTCCGTGCCCACTAGGACAAGAGAACAATACCCGTGAGACCTTGGAGGCAATGATGATGGACCGTGAATACAATGACACCTGCTTTGGGACCGTCTTTCCTCACACATTGGGAATTTTTTTCTCCCGTCCGAAAAAGATGTTTGTGTGTAACCTACTGAAAACTGTTGGTACAGCACATTTTGAAGCTGGGGATAGCGGATTTTTTTTTTAAATGCGGTCTACATGGTACGAAGAGGAATCGCCTTTCATGTAAATGTATAAATAGTTATATGTATATTTTATAATATTAATAATATTGACAATACTGTAATAATAGTAATTTTGTACTAAACAGTAATTACAGGTGCATTTTAGCATGTATATTAATAAAAAATATATATAGATTATTTTAATACAGAGGGCCTGAAAGCCATTTCTGTTTTTTTTTGTTTTTTTGTTTTCAGGAGTACAACAACAGATAAGAATGTACGCAGTGCTGTAATGCATCAGACTGGTCTGGCAGCTCAGAAAGATAAACGATAGAAAAACGGTTGTTTAGCCAGTAACACTTATTCTCTCCTTTATTCATAAAAAAAAACCATCAGGGGACTTTCTGAAGAAGGAAAACAAAGTTTAATATATGCCATTGTCTAAAGACAAAACCTGAAAAGCTACACTTTGCTGTACGGTTTTATATAAACATTGAAAAAAAAATATTAAGAATCGACACTAACAGTATTGTTTTCTTTTACTAATGTTTATACTTATTGTGTATGTACATTCCAAGCATTTCGCATGCGTCGTAAAAACAAAAGCAAGTTAAATGTCATATAAGATTGTGCCTAAGACCGTGGCGGCTCCTCAATAGGGATTGTAGTGTTCAGACAAATCTCCAGTCGCGCGCCCTGCGCCCACGACTCATCATCTTTCGCAGGGAGGTTCAGGTATGATCTGTATGTACGTTTGTTGAACTTCTTTCACACCGCACGTAGCCAACCGTGCCAGTCGGCCAGGTGCGGAAGGACAACAAAACGGAAACACAAAAAGCGGTTCTAACGAAGTGAGTTTTAAATCTAGATTTCAAAGTGCACAGCTCTCTCTCTGTGTGTGTGCATTCCCAATATCTCACTCGATGTGTCAATTGATGTCTAAAGTAAGCAAGCCTGGGAGGCACTGGTGCCCCCCCCCCCTCGCCCCACGAGAACCGGTGCGCGGCAGTCAATAGATTGGCAGCCTTGGGTGGAGGCCCCGCCCAAAACCGTTCTAGCCCCACCCACAATCGTTCTAGCCCCACCCATAACCGCTGTAGCCCCGCCCATAACCGTTCTAGCCCCACCCATAACCGTTGTAACCCCACTCAGCTCATCTTTGCACCGCCTCCCCTAAAGACACATGGTGACAGCGACGGTGAAGGCCAACGGTGGTTAATGATGACTAATGATTGGACATAATGAGTGATGATGGAAAATTATGCTGAAGATATTGTTGATAACGATAGTCGTGATGATGATGATGGTGGTTATGATTAAGATTAATGAGGATTGGGGATGAGAGGATGGCATGATGGCATGCTTCCAGGCCCCCAGACATTCCCTCGAACCCTGCGTCAAATGCCGAACACCCCCAAAACATTTGAGCACAACCCGCCACTGGCCTGACATCTAATTTATTGATAGTTTTTAATAAAATGTTATAAATAACAATTGTGCGCGCGTCTGTTTGTTGTTGTTTAAGGACACACCGAATGTTTCCGCAACAAATGTGCGTGCGAACAGAGCTCCCTGCCACATTCACCACATCGGCATCACCGACTAGATGACAAAGCATTAGAAAAGCAGCATCTTGAGGATGCGAACTTTGCTTAAAATTAACTTTTCTGCACGTAGCGGTGGGTGACGATTGCATCGGCTTGGCGGGTATTACGTTCTCTGAAATGAGCTTCACACCCACTCAGTGTTGGAATCCCACCCGTCTAACGCAATCTGACATCTTCACTTTGCCGGCCCACTCGTGGCTCTGCTTTCATCCTCTCTAGCGAGTATCCGTGGGGACGTCGCATCACAGAAGCTGTTTTTGGAAATCCTCCAGCTTCTGCCATAGTACGTCGATGCCGCGAACACCAACGTTGGTTCGGCTCGCTTGTACCCCAAAAAGCCACCGCGGTGCACGTGTTTCTCCGCTGCGTTGATCGTACAGTCGCCCTTCCCCAGCTGCGAGGACACCACTGCTCGCGCATGCTGTTCTTGAAAGCAGATTTTTTTTCAAGCGGGAAGTGTGGCTTGTTTTTATAAAACAATAACCCCTTTTATCGCGAGGGCCATAGCATTTTTTGTGTTTATTTTGCCACGACGCAGGGCTTGTTAATATTGGCCGATGCTGGAATGTATGCGGAGGAAGTATTTAAAGAGATGCCTTTACCAACACTCCCTCATCCCCCTCCCCCTCCCTCCAAAGCCAGTCACAGATTTCCTGAATCTGATATCCATTCTTTCCTCCACCCCATGACCTCTCAATAGTGTTTTTTTGTTTTTTTTGTTCCTCAACAGCCTCTGTAATGTCACCGAAACGTGCAGATCATGTAAACAGAGAAGGTGACATGCTACATCCTGCTGCTGCTGCAGTGTTTGCATAAACAAATGATATTATTATTTACCCAGGGAATTCTCATTGAGTCTCAAGACCATTTTTCAAAAGGGCCCTGCATTGAGACAGTTTGCCAACTCCATTGATGAGCAGCTTCATGTGGGAGTGAACCATAGTATTCAGAAGGAAAAATAAACCCACGCATACGAGTAAATAAAACGCAAATCTGCGCACGGATAGATTCAAACCACAAGACGTACCAAATACATGCAATGTGTGAACTGAGCCTATGGATTGAAATGCCATCTCCTGACCACCTCGCAACCCCGAGCCTCATGCCTACAAAATCAGGATGTTCCAGGTAGTCTCCCAAGCGATAATAATCAGGCTCAGCTCTGCTTAGCTTGTGATGTCTGTTCAAATCTGGAACCTTTATGATGATCTGGCCTTAAGCAAATGAGCCTCATAGCCCAAGGGGAGGTTGGAATCTTTCTAATCCCAAGAGGCTTAAAAGTGCTCATGCCCCATAGTTGTGAAACTAACATGATTTGTTTTCATTCCTTCATTCAAATGCCAAACAATATATATACAAGCTTTGAGTACGTATGTATCAGGGCAATAAAAAAGTACAGGAAATTTGCTACCAATATAATAATGCACCTCAATCATAGATTAACAGACACACTCACACTTGCTCCATTATACTATGAGATGATATATACTTTACAGCCCTTTGTCAATCCACTGCTGGATGAAGGCCTCCCCACGTCATGTCAGTCATGGGAATTGTGCGATCATGCTTCACCACACTGGTCAGTAGTTCGAGTTTGTGAAGAGGCGGCACCCAGGACTGGTTCCGATATCATTCCTCACTAATTTAGCTCTCGCCCGGGAATCGAAATCTGGTCGGCAGGTTCCTAGCGCAAATGCGCTCACCGCCGTTACACCACTCTAACACATTTCTATAGTTCCTCATGTACGTGTACTTTTTAACACACTGTTCTAATCAAATGTTCACCTCTCCCTAAATGTTTGTTAGCAGTGCCTTAATCCACTGGGCCACAGCTCCCACCCCGAGATTTAATCGTGGAGGTGTAAAACGCCTGTGTGTTGAGGCAAGTGTTAAAAGTGGCCTTTTTGAAGCAACTTCAAAGCAGCAGAACGAAGGAGAGGGAACCACAGAGGGCAGCTCGCACACGCGAAGTGACGAACACAAATGTTTTATTTTTTAACTGAAGACAAACATGAATAGGAGCTGGTTACTTGAGACCAAAAAGCGGCCGACGAAGGTGGAACTGCTATATAAATCATATGTGGAATGCTTTAGGAAAATAATAATATAAAGTTTTGGGCCAACTTTTATGGCGTTTAAATGTTACCTATATTAGACCATTCAGACACTGGCCATGCCTGTCTGACATGGCAGCCTGGAGCAGTCAGAGTAGGCCGTTATGTACCCACAAAATTGGCAACATTGGTATGGAAATTTGCGTGCAATTATTCAACTTTTCCCCATTAAAGAGAGCACAGTGTCGCCTTTCACGAGACCTGCACGTAGCTCAAAGGCGTTCCCCTCTTTAATAAAGACATGTACGTTTCATCCAAAGAAATGAACGTATGAAATTATAATTGAAAACACGTAAATAATGTAATAATAGATTAGCAGTGTAGAATTATGCCCCGGAGGTTACACACACGAGACTGACTAGAGCGCGCCCTATACCTGTCTTCCGCGGTTTCTCAATGGGGAGCATGAACGGCTGCGCGATCCTGCACGCAACATCACTTGTGAAGTTGCCCCACTTTTCTTAACAGAGTATTGCCATGCAGCGCACACCGGTTCGCCTGCCTCCCTCGGCCTGTGGGCTGGCTTAGGGTACAGGCTCTGGCCGGCTTGACCTTGCCCAAGCCCTGAACAGCTGCACTGCAGGAAATACACAATCATACTCTTTGGTTCTATTCGGTAAAGTCACGTAGGTAAAAAAATAAAACAACAAAAATCACGACGTTTCGGCCACAACAATCACTCAACCATGATGAGCATGTGTATCTTGCCAAATGCACACTTTCAAAAATTGCCTCACTTTGCCATGAAGCATTTGTTTTTTTGGCAAAACGCTGCTGGGTAATTAAAGTTTAGCAAAAAAACCATGTTTTGCTCACTTGTAAAGGAACCTTGGTTGATATGGCCGTTCAGCTTTTTAGCTTCCACTAATTTGAATCACTTTTAATGTGTCAATATGATCACTTTAAGGATGTACTTTATTGTTCCATCTCATTCCACGTGACGAGCTCATTTGTTGATTTAAAAATTCCCCGCTCCAGCTGTGGCTCATGTAGTGATGTGGTACCGTGAGATATGATACAGCACATAAACCGGCAGTAGCATTATTACGGCATTTCTAAGAAGTTGTAAGGAAATGGCCATACATTTTGTTGAGGGGGATTTCGAAAAAAATTAACAGTTACGTTGACTGCCAAGCAGGCGCAGGCAGCCGTGAAAATCAATTCAACTGCGATGAAAAATTAATTAAGCAAAATGATTTGTTTTGCTGTACAGAATGTAGTACTTTCTGGATGCTGGTGACAGTAAAATCTGGATAACGCTCACTGGTGAGGTCGGGTCGACAAGTTAATTGGCAAAGGGCTGTAAATGATAATACAATTTTCAATCAAAATAAAATCGTATTTTCGAGTAGTATTGATCAGGGAGCGATATAGCTTGTGGTATATTGTTTATGCCTAAACATAAAGTGAAAAAAAGATAACGTTTTGCAAAGTGGCTGGCTTTTTAATGTTTGTTTGAACGGACTCTTCCAAAGGCAGGTCTGTTTGTAAGAAACGCACTGTAACTTCATAACGGCTATTCTATAGGTCCCTTGCAAACATCTGTGTAATGCTGGGCACGCTCCCGCATTTTGTTTTGGTTTACTCCAGTTAGTTTGGTTTTAATGCCTTTCAGCCCTTAAATAAAAAGCAGAATATTTATACATACCACCGCTTGAAGCACATAAATAAATCCGTTTGGAAGTGCCTTGGATTCTTGCCATTAATGCACAGTTTAAAATACACCCGGCCAACCTAGTGTGCTGTGCTTTATAATAATATGATACTGGCCGCTTAAAAATGTTCTTGATGCTCAATCCACCCATGGTCTGGCAATCCACCAACCCAAACCCCATTTTGCCCATGCTCAGACTCAATGTCTTACCAACCGCCTGGGCCCTGGCCATGCATGCCAGATCGTCACTCGTTATGCGAGGCACGGTGAATAACAGTAGTTTATGTACCTGTATGGGTCTTGGCGCCAACGTCCACACCTGGAGCTGTTCCAGCGTACACACACATGTGTGTGTGTGTGTACACAAGGGGAAGCGGTAGTGTAGCGGTTAGTGCGTTGTGTTACAAACCTGACGACCCGTGTTCGATTCCCGATCACGGCCAACATCAGTGACGATTATCTAAACTGGTCCTGAGACTCCCCTAGGTTGACTCAGCATCAAATGAGTACCTGGTATGGTGTGTAAAAACATTGCAACTAGGGAGACAAAGGCGGATGGCCACCCACCCCCTCGCGTGCCGTTCTGGCCTTCATAGGTGCTCACTAACAGCACTTGCCCCAACAGTCTGTTAGGGCTATACGGGGGATCTTTGTATGTCTTTGTTTTGCACAAGAGCACATGCCAGCAATACTCCTTCATGCATTAGATATGAAATGTGGAACTACACACAGAAGGCACTCGAGTGAGTTTATTGTTTGTATATTTTTTTGGCTAATTAGTGTCATCTAGCTGGCAACTAACATGACATTGCTTTGCATTGTCATGTTAATTGTAATGTTAATTGTCATGTTACCATCTGGGAAACCACCAGTGGTGGGTGTTTGGCTGGAATGCAACTTTTGTGCAAATTATGAGCTCAAATTTTGTACAGATATATACTGTATATAGTTATTGCACATATACTTCCATAACCAATTGGCTCTGCCTAGGTCTTGCCATGTGCTGTTCAATTAATTCACAGACCTTTTAATACAACACTTTTTGGATTGATAAATATTCTACATGCGACCTCATGTGCAAAACCTCTGCACAAATACAGGGACATGCACATCGAAAAAATGCAAATATATTATTGGAGGGAACTAAGACGGTTAGCCAGCAGGAAATGAAAGAAAAAAATTACAGTGAAGATAGAAATTTAAGAAATTCACTGCTGGAGACCTGGCTCCAGGAGTGAATTGACAAACGGATGTAAGTGGGTTTTTTATATTCATGAGCATCATGGCTCAAAGGCGATGTTCTCAGACTGATGTATGCCTTGCATGAAGACTCATCTCTTATAATGGGGGGGGAAACATCAGAGATTGATAACCACGATCCACATTCCACTCAGCAACCATTACGAGATCCTGCTGGTTGGACCACCAGCAGCTTCCACCGGAAGCAACATTTATACAAAATACGAAGCCAATCTTCCACAACAAATTTGAAAGAAAAAAAAAACGCACGAAGGTAAGAAATTGTGTATGCATATGAATTCAGACTCGTGACAGACATGACAGCCGTGAAATGCTAGCTCGAAGTACGGCTGCCAACCTTCCCACCTCTGGTTCTGAAATAAAAAAAGAGCTCTTCATTCCTAGTGTATCAGCCTGCCAAGTTGCATTTCCCAGAATCATATCTGTGAAATTGTATTCTGAAAAATGTATCATTTGTACATTTTATCTGAGCAATTGTCTGGTGCAAGAGCCTACACGGCATTTGTTGCGTGTGAATAATACTGTGGGTGGGGGGAAAGCCATTACGATCACATAGGGAGCGCTTCGAATTATGCGTCACTGATTGGTTTTAATATAAACAGTTGAAAATAAAGAAAGCTGTCTCTGGTGTGGACCAATCAGTTTCAAGGACAATGCATATATTATCAGAGTATGTTTTTTTTTGCATTCTGACCACAAGCATTGTTGTTAATGCAGACATGATTCATTGTAAAAAGTTTCAGTTTGGTGTTTTAACATCTTAACACCTGTTTTGTTGCCATAAAAAAGAGGAAAAACCTATTATCAGTTGAAATTCTATTCACGGATATATTTTCTAACATCTCACTTGGTTATAAATGAAGTTCGTGCTGGTTTTAAATACAATTAGCGACTGTCGTAGGCAACAGGGGGCATTGCATCAAATCCATGTTTGTCCTGTACTAGGCTCCATCTGTGCTCCATGCCTTAACTCAACCCACACTGACCAGCGTGGGGAAGTATGGTCAAATAACATCAACGGCCCGCACAACACGGGGAGGCCCTCATATAGCAGTGGACCAATGAAAGTGCTGCATATGTACATGTCTTAAATGTATGTGCAGCACTTGTATGCACAAACGGTAATTGTGTAAAAAGTGTGAAATTTCTGTACAGTACTGTATCATAACAAACATACTCTATTGGCACAAGTTACACACATTCATCACCATCGTATAGGCAATGTCAATGAATGGTGGTTAGTTGAACCTTATAGCGGTACCCCGGGGTACCATAGTACACCGGCTCTCGCATAATGTCCGTGATGCAGTCATTTTTAGTCTGTTGATGGTCGGCGATGCGGCTATCGACTCATCTCGACGAGCTGTACTCACGATGCACCACCACCACGGTGCGTACCCAGAGCGTTCAGGGTTTCGGCGCAATCGGCCTCGCTGCATTTTGACATCGCGGAGTGGCACCACCGATTTCGGATTGATTGGTACCACAGTCACGGAGTTAAGTAACACCCCTGGACAAAAATAGTGTCCCTGAAATAAAGTATTTAATTGCCTCGACCATTTTGTGTTATTTGGTACCTCGGGGTACCGCCATGAGGATCAGTTGTTGTAGTTTATACATACAATTCTTAACTGTTACATTTTAGCATTACACAGCTGAGATTGAATAAAGGATGTACGGTACTGCTGTACGTCAAGTGTTATATTGTAAATTTTGATTTAAAGATTTCGTGACTGCAGGGATTCATGTTTTTTTATTGTTTCCCTTCTACGTGACTTTACCGAAAGAACCAAGAATATGTTATATTGTAGTTTCAAATAAGGGACAGCAGGCGGCGTACAGGAATTGAGAGCTTATATCAAACCCTGCAGGAATTCATATTCTTGGGTCTTTCGGTAGTCACGTAAATAGGTTATTTTTGTTTTTTTCTTTGAACCTATCTACGTGACTTTACCGAAAGATACAATAATATCAATCCCTCTAATTGGCATTTTCACCACCCCATCTTTCCTTCCTTAATAAGCATCTCCTCGTGTTCTAGATAATCTCCCACGCCCATTCCACGCGTTTTTAATATGCTGGTTCAACACTTTAAAGCCCCTCTTTGTTTCCCAAATGCATTCCAATTTATTTAATTGCCGTCAAGTCATTAAGAATGTTCCATTTGTAAACCTGTCTGACAGCGGCGTAGGATGGGTTCTGCAAGATTATATCACTGAGCTACAGTAAATGGAGGATGATGTTGTGGTACAATGGTTAGGGGCCGTCCATAAATTACGTCACCCACCTAGGGGGGGGGGGGGGGTCAGACATTTGTGACGATGTGTGACGAGGGGGGGGGGGGGGGTGAGAAATGTGACGTCACATCAAAATGCTTTAATTAAATATAGACAACACGTTCTACTTAATTAAATAGATATTTCATAAATGTTTTCTCCTACAACATCAGAGTGCAGCGCCACATTAAATACGCACTATAATGACAATAGTAATAGGTTTTTACCCTTTTATCTGGCACCAAAACTGACACCTTTATACAAGGGATCATGTTTAAAATAACCACAACACAAACAGTCAAAGTGCAAACAAAAATATACAACTGATAATGATATGCAATGTCCTTGATAATGCATATCATTATCAGAGTTGTCTCTTTTTGTTTGCACTTTGACTGCTTGTGTTGTGGTTATTGCAAACATGATCCCTTGTATAAAGGCGCAGTTTTGGTGCCAGATAAAAGGGTAAAAACCTATTACCATATCTTGCTACTGGCAAAGGAGGTCTCATAATGTAAATAGAATGACAATAGATTAAAGCGATATGAAGCATATTCTTGGTTCTTTCGGTAAAGTCACGTAGAAGGGAAACAAAATGGAAATATGGTTGGGGGGGGGGGGGGCAGAGCTTTGTGACGTCATATTTGAGGGGGTCTGACTTTCTGTGACGCCGTGTGACGAGGTGGGGGGGGGGGCAAAAATCGTCAAAAATCGCGTGACGTCATTTATGGACGGCCCCTTATCACGCTGGACTTTCAAGCCAGATGTTGCCGGTTCATTTTCCTGGCGTGGCCGTTGAAACAAAGGTGCAAGGTTTTTTAATTTTAAAAACTCGCCGTGCCTCTGTCCACCCAGCAGTATAATTAGACCAGTTAATCCATCTACATGTCACGTGTGGTGAGGTAAAATGTGGGTACTCCCACCTCTTCAAGATGCTTAGCTCGTACTAAAGAGTGGGCCAAATTTACATCAAAAGAAGCTATCTATAGCTTCAGATAGTGGAGGCCCTTTCATCAGCAGTGGCTTTATAAAGTAATTGCAGGGCTGCACCGTTACCTTTTACAGGCATTTGAGATACTGCACCTTCAATTGCCTCTTACTAACCCGAATAATAGTTCAATTTGTTTAACCATGAAGCCCCATTGAGTCTTATAACATCTCGTTTGGGTCCTTCTTTAAATGTTTTGTCGCAAGGCAATGAGCCACCATGTTTTAATCCTCAGAGGTAGAACAAACAATAAAACGCGAATAAAAACCGGAAAAATCGAGAGAATGGAAAATACACTTTTAATATGAAATTTAACGCGATCTGTTTTTACGTGCGCAGTGTGAGCCATTGGTGGAAATCAAAGGTGACTACGGCTACCACCCACCAGAGACTACATTTACGAGCCTGACTAAAAACGTACGTTTAAAGGTATTTTACCGATATGAGAGACAACAGTCCACTGAGGAAAACCTTAACATTGTATTTGCATGGATTGTATTCACATAAAACATCTCAATAACACCGCCATGAAAGGAAATATGTATTCCATAATGGGCGGCGCTTTGTGTAATGGCCCTTCTTCATAGCACGTGACTGCTTTATTCATAGCACAATGGGGCCGTCCATAAATGACGTCACGCGATTTTGGACGATTTTCGACCCCCCCCCCTCGTCACACGGCGTCACAAAAAGTCAGACCCCCCCCTCAAATATGACGTCACAAAGCTCTGCCCCCCCTAACCATATTTCCATTTAGAAAATAAAACATGCTTCAGTTCGCTTAAAACTATTGCCATTGTAGTGCGTATTTAATGTGCCACTGCACTCTGATGTTGTAGGAGAAAACATTTATTTTAAAGTCTATTTTTATTAAGTAGAACGAGTTGTCTATATTTATTTAAAGTTGCGCATTTTGATGTGACGTTACATTTCTCAAACTCCCCCCCCCCCCTCGTCACACATCGTCACAAATGTCTGACCCCCACCCCCCAGGCGCGTGACGTCATTTATGGACGGCCCCATATGAAGAAGGAACATTTTCCAAAACGTTACCCACTATATACTTGTTTCCTTTGAAGGTGGTGTTATTGACACATGTGTTGCGGTTTTTTGTCGTTGTAAATTTCGCTCTTACACCAGTGCCAAAGCATCAGCGTCACCAAATAATTTGGGGGAAAACGTCTCTGATTAGCTGACCAATCACCAAAAAACTAAAATGAGAATATTCTTGGTTCTTTCGGTAAAGTCACGTAGAAGGGAAACAAAAAAATAATAAAAATATAAAACAATAAAAATCTCACGACGTTTCGACTGCAACACAAGCAATCATCATCAGGTGTGAAAACCACAGCAAGAACAATTTGAAAAAAGTGGCGTTTTTATTAACGTTAGCACCACGGAGAGCGATTTGGGAGTTATTCAGATGGACGAGTCCATCTATGTTCGGAAAAGAGGAGGGGGGAGACGAAAATAATGGATGCGGTCTGAAATCCACCTTAATCGTGATCAATCAATTAAGACCCGAATGGGTTTATCAAATCCTTCCAATGATTGCTACTTCGCCTGGTATGTAAGGAGGCCGTCGTTTCGATCCCGAACCCTGACGCCTGTATAATTGAAGTTGCTGGGTTCTCTCTCCCCTTGATCGCATGGGTTCTTCTCCAGGTCATCCGGTTTTAGTTTCCCCCCTGCACATTTAGAAACGCGCGTTTAGAGTATTTTGGCTGCCGCCGTAATTTTCCACGTGGTAAGCCACTTCGTTGAGCTAACATTTGTGACCGGGTCGCTTCTGCAAACAAAAAAAAACCGATGTAGCTCAGTAGGCCTTACTTATCCGCTCAAATAAAAATAAATATAGTTTCATAGCTTCCTTTTGCGTCCGTAAACTTGTCCTGTGCCGCCTCCTGGTGGCTCGTGCCGTGAAATAACCTCACACCACAAACACCCCCCGCCCACCCCCACGGCCCCCGTTGCATGGCTCGTGTGATGATTGGTGGGGGAGGTGGGAAGGAAACTACGACAGGAAGGAAGGTTTGACAGTGCTGGAGAGAGAGAGAGAGACAGAGGGAGATCCGTGCTCGGCGTGTGTCTACGGCTGCAAAGAGAGGCCCGCGCGTGGCCGATTGCTCAGAGAAACACAAATCCCGCCGTCTCGCCATGGCCGCGCAGAACGACGAGGTGCAGAGGCAAATCCACCAGGATTGGGCCAACAGGGAGTACATTGAGGTGATCACCAGCAGCATCAAGAAGATCGCCGACTTCTTGAATTCATTCGGTGAGCGAATCGCGTCCACACGACCGGAAGGGTTCGTAACGGTGGTGCTGGATGCGGGCGGGGGGGGGGTCTAACTGCGAATCGAACTCGCGGCCAACACCGCCGGTGACGATTACTTGAACCGGTCCCGGGCCTCCCCTAGGTCGACTCAGCCTCGAAGCGAGTACCCGGTGCGGTGTTAAGCATCGCCACGGGGGGAAGACAAAGGCGACCGGGCGTGGTTACTGCTGGCCAACTACACCCCCCTCTCTCGTGTGCCCCCCCCCCCCACCCACATTCATGGGTGCTGCTACTGGCCACGAACAGCACTTGCCCCAACACTCTGTTACAGGCTACACGGGGGATCTCTGTCTCGCTAACGGGCGTGGCTCCTGACCACGTCCCTGTCGTGATCGGTGCTCGCCAACGACGCTTGAAGCCCCAACAATGAGCGCTAGAAAGGCTTCAGAGTTCACGGACAGCTGCCGGGGGACATTCCTGCAGCGCGGGTTGGCTGGGTTGGGGGTGTGAATGTTGACCGGTGGTGCTTTTTACCGTCATCGCGACGAATACGTTGACGGCGCCGCTCTCACCGCACGTTAAACTGGTGAGGTTCGTGACTTGGGCCTCGTGTAGAACCAGCGGAGCGATCTTGTTGTCCTTGCTGTGGGTGAGTACAGCCGGTGCTGTCAGGCCCTCGTCGGCACAACACGGTGGGCGGGCCTCCCGCTGTTATTATCATCTCGGCTTGGACGTGTAGCGGTTGCGAGGAAGCTCCGATGTCAATTTAAACAAAAAATATTTTCATTTCACACCTGTCAATCCATGCGGTTTTACCCCTAATTCTTGTACAGGAAAATTGAGTTTTCAGGCCCATAGGGCCATCCCTTTTGGTAGGACTTTGTAGGATGAACGTTGAGATGTATAAGAGGCACGTGGGTGACCAGTAAGGTCTGAATTGGTCTGTAATAAGGTAGGGCACTGATTAGGGGTTGACAGGTATGTAGTGGTGTGTACTAGTGGTGCTTGTCTATTTGGTGTGTTCTCTTTTGTGATGGGACTTTGTAGGATGAACGTTGATATATATAAGTGCACGGGGTGACCAATAAGGTCTGAATTGGTCTGTAATAAGGTAGGGCACTGATAAGGGGTTGACAGGTATGTAATTTGTGGGTTTAGGGGGGGCACATTGAATATGGGACCACATGCGTACTGTTGTACCTCCGTGTCAACCCCCATCCCTGTGTCTCTGCGTGCGTGTGGATGCAGAGATTTCATAAGGGGAAGGGCGTTGTCTGTTTTGTTGTGGTTGCCCAGCGGCTCTTTGGGGACAACTCTAGAATTCATGGAGCGGTGACCCATCCGTGCCTATCCAACAGCGAATTCATCTGCCCGAGTCAAGCCCCTGACAAGCCCAGACCAGACCTAGCAGCTCCTCATATCTGGCCAACAACCAGAATAATAATAGGAATACTTGACCTGGTCAATTGTGATTGACGTATCATACACTGCAACCTGAGTGATGCGATCCAACCATCAGGCCCTTTTTATCCATGACCTGCTTTGCTAAACCAGCTCTAACTAACCTCGATTTATCCCCATAAGCACAGCCCTTGGGAGCAATCCCAGTTGTGCTAATATCCAAAGTTGAGTGCTGTCAGAAGTTGTCCCTCCCCTCCACCAGTGTAATTTAATCACGTGTTGCTTACAGTAGAGTTGTGCTTATATAAGCTGTGCCTATAGCCATATTCTGTTGTAAATGATTAGCCACTTTTTTAATAGCATCCGAACTGTATGCCCAAAATCATGCAACTGACAAGTCACAGCAATGTGTGTATATTGAACTTCTTTCGCACCGTTCTTAGCCAATTGTATAGAATTTCACGTGAGATTGAGAAGTTTACTGTTGTGTCTGCAGACATGTCATGCCGCTCGCGGTTGGCAACCCTCAACGAGAAGCTTACCGCGTTGGAACGCAGGATCGAGTACATCGAAGCCAGGGTGAGTAGGTCTCCGTAATTCTTCTTGGACCCGCTTTGCTGGGATTATCTTATTTGTGTTGTTGCTCTGGAGATCGGGAGATCGATGTTCGATGTACGGTCGTCGCGTTTATGGCATTCGTCGTGATTTCTCACTTAGAGTGGGCCGCGTGAAGGCTGCCGACATACCCGAAAGAAGAAAATCTGATTGTGGTCTTTGGGAGCCGTGCTTTTCGTTTGAACTCGGTTCGTTTGTGCAGGTGACGAAAGGAGAAACTCTGACATGAGAGTCTTGCTGGGCCCTGGTCAACGCTTGCTCCTGCTGCCCCGCCGGACGTTGGCCTCATCGTCATCATCAGTTGGGAAAGTTGAACTGTTTCCACTTGACTTGCTTTTGCGATGTTTGCGTGTATAGCTGTATTTCAAGCAACCTTTTCGTCATGATGATGTGATTCTTTTACTTGCAGTGTATGCCAAAAAAAAGTGTGCCATTTTACCGTCTGTGTTTTGTGTGCGCTCGTGTAAAGAAATGCTTTACGTTGCAGAATGTTAAGCTGCTTAACTGGAATTTGCATGAATTGCCTCTCATGTGTACTTGGCATATAGAGAGAATACCCGTACATTTGTGTTATTGCAGCCAAATTTACTGTACATGAGAGGTAATGAGAATAAACTATGAGGGCACATACCAATACTCTACTTGAATCATGCAAGGAAGTGTGGATGGAGCTAGTCTTTCCAGGACCAAAAATGCCACTATGGAAGGTTGCTCACTTGTACGGTAAATTTAAACATCTTCTTTGGTTCTTTCGGTAAAGTCACGTAGAACGAGAATAAAATAATTATTGTCTTTTCTTTTATTATTTTATTCTCATTCTACGTGATTTTACCGAAAGAACCAAATAAAATTTAAACATGTTAGACATCTCAATATGCGATGCTTCATTGTGGACAGTTTTAGTCATTGATTGTAATCTTAAATACCCACGTACCATCTTCGGTCCACAACTTGTCCTTTAATGCCAAGGTTGCTGCTGCTGCCCAACTTTACATTCACTGCACCGTAGGGAAATTGAATTGAAAGCACAAGAAATTATAAATGTTTACCGATCGAATCGATGGTGGTGCTTCTTTAGCTTTCTTATTAACATTTACAATGTAAGCTCAGATTATGCAATGGTTTCAATTGAAATAAATATAGCATATAAAAAATGTGAGTACAGTAAAGATGTGTTTGGTTAAAATATATAAATAAATTATGCCGATATTTTTATATACTGCAAATTAACAGTATATCTCAATATGTAAGTGGAACTCGCTGTTACATACACCATATATATTTCCTGTTGCACAGGTATTTGGTGCCATAAACACATTTTCAGAGTTTATATTTTATTTTTCAACTGGAAAATATTTGAAAAATATTTCAGTCTTGGAAAAAAGTGAAATTATGAATTTAGGGTCAATTTATAAAATCTTAAATTGACAGAATTAGTTTTCTTATTATGCAAAGAGAACGATATTATATTTATTTGATGGAGTTAAAGGTTGTACTTGGGCTCTTAGTGCTTGATGGCAACACCATTAAAAAGAAACTATTGATTCTTCGCACATGTTCCACAGTTGTGACAACTGAATTATGTATGAAACCTTTACATGGTTACAATCTACGAGGTGTCTTTATTTCACTCCAGTACATTTCATTGTGTTTGGCTTGCGTGTATTAGGCCAGCATTTTCGATCTCAGGTTGATTTTCTACACTCACTGTTGTTTGATGCTTTTTTTGCGTAATAAATGTTTACGTTCACAATCATTGTTGGTCTTTGTGTGCGCTGCGTTTTTGGTTGACAAGCAATATGTGATACAAAACAACACATTTGTGACGGTGCAGAGGTGGTATAAATGTGTGAAGGTCATCAAGGCCACTTGATTGCAGGTTACCTGATCACCAAATATTCCAGGTACGAAATCACTTGTGCTTGACGTTCTGTTAACTGTTAGATTAAACAAAAAAATATCAATTCATAGCCCTTTGTTAATCCGTGGCTGGATGAAATCCTCCCCATTGTGTCGCTCAGGGGGATTGATTGACCATACTTCACGCTTACATAGTTCGTCACGAGGGTGGGGTGCCCAGAACCATCTCTCGCCACTGATGTTCGTCATGGTCAGGAATATAACTCACGCCGTTGGATTTAGGCCGCCGTGTGCGAGCCACTGCACCACCACTCCACCCCATTAGATACATTTTCCGTGTAAAAAAACAATTACAGTATATTATAAAGATAGGCTTAATATTTTTCCAGCGTTAATCCAAATCACAGTGGGAAGTGATGTGTGAAACGTCTATGTTGATTATTGGCAGATGCCGCTTGTATATTAATTGAGGACGGATTCTGCAGCGGTGGATGCAGATGACTGGCGTCCCTTTTCCACAGTCTGGCGCTTCCTGGCCTTGCCAGCAGAGGTCTGCTCTCTCCCATCCTCTTCAGAGAGCTCCATGGACACCTGCTCCAGGAACTGAATCCAGAAAAGGAACAGTGAGCCCAACCCCTGAAAACCATTCGGCCGGAAACCTTATTCTGGACATACTGCTGCTATTTGTAAAAAAATATTTATATATTGTATTGTCTACATTATAAAAACACCGTTTTGCAGGGTTGTCAATGTCTTGTAAATTTAAAATACAAATTCCAATTTAAACGTGGAGGTAAAAGAGGTTTGATTGATCATTGGTGTATACTTGGATCGTGAGGTTTGTAGAAAATGACATTTTAAAGTATTCCAGAATAACGGAAACAATTACAAAGTTAACCAAGTACCTTGCTCACAATATTTTGCCCGAAGTAGCATTGTGGCTGGGCGAGACTTGGATTGTGACATCCCAGCCACGCTCCATCTCCAAGGAATAAACCACCAGGTGTGCTCATGAATATACTGCAATGTGTGGATTTAAACAGCGTTTTAATGTGGCCGCATTTCAAAACACTCGACAGGAATGGAGGGCATATTTGATTTACAGATAGGTGGTCAGAGACAAAGGAAAAAAAGGAAGGTCTTCAGCATGTACTTTCATTGGCAGGGAGTCCACAGCATGGACAGCTGGTTGTAGGGAATTTCTGCAGAAATTCATTAAAACTAAATTCTCATGCCTCTCTCAATTCTTTTTTATGCCAGTCTAATGGGTATGTGGGTATTATCAGTGTATACAGCATTGTTGGGGTGGAGTGGTGATGCAGTGGCTACCACACTGCACTGAACTCTGTTTACCTGCCTTTGATTTCCAGACACGGCTTGCATCGAGTGGCAAGTGGACCGGTTCGGATAGCACCAACCAGTACTGACCAGCGTGGTGAAGTATAGTCAAACAGACCCCATAACCGTCATGGTGTGAGGGAGGTCGTCATCTAGTGGTGGATTGACAAAGGGCTGTACTATATACACGCATACCCAAAATGTAATCTTATACCATTCAATCTTACGTTTATGAGAACTTGATGAAAAGGGCCTCACCTGTGGCCGACGAGCTCCCTTTTCGTCCACAAACTTGCGGAATGCCAGAGCGCCGTGCAAGTGCAGCAGCTGCGTGTCCTGTAAAGACAAGCGAGTGAGCTGTTACTGGTAGCTTTCACAGTGCTTTAGGTCAATGCGTGGCTGCTCTGCTTTCGTGGTGCCGCACGTTTTGATGTAACCTGCGCGACAAATACCTCTCCAAAATTATGCAGCTTTGAATTTGGGCTGTGACCGCTGTATTGCAATGATATAAATGTATAAATAGTTGCTTTGAGGTAAGGATCGATGGGGTAAATCGAAGGAAAACGTTAGAAGGCATTAACTGTCGCTGGTATGAAAAATATCACAAGTAATTTTCATGAACTTTAAGTTCTCAGAATTAAATATTTAAAGTGATATTCGTTTTTACATTTTTCTAGGAACCTACACATTTATCATAGCCGGTTTTCTCAGATGGAAAGGAAGACTAAAATATGTTCGCGATTCAAAGTCTTACAATGGCAGTAGCTCTCTTCTTGGCTTCAGAAGCCTCCCTCTCCTGGACAACGTTAGGGTCCTCCAGAGGCTCATTTTGAGGCTTTTTCTTCCAAGTGGCAGGTGGCAGATACCAGGCCCCGTAGCACATCCTCCCACTTTGTGGCTGTTGGTGAAGTCCAGGCCACACAAAACGGTACATATATTATTTGGTGATATTATTTGGTGGATGTGGTGCACGAGCACAAATAAAAAAAAACTGAACTGGTCAGCTATAGTGTTTTTTATATATATAGGCAACGTTTCAGTCAATGGCCTTTCCATCATAGCCTATTATGTTTTTCTTTTTAAGGTAGTGTTATTGACGAACGTGTTGAGGTTTTTGATATGTAATATTGTACCATTCTTAATTCTCTGTAAAGTGCCTTGGTTGAAGCGTCTTGGCTAAGGGGCTATATAAATTATGTTAAGATAAGATAATCAACTCTTCATGGCAAATCGACATTTACCTAAACTATAGCCGGCCGGTTCAGTCTGTAATGGTTCACTCATTATGTACCATGTGAGGTGTGTTATTGTTGGCAAGCATCAGTTATGACAGCTCGTCAACTATTTTATGTCATTACAGTCGACAACGTTAAAATACAATTGTAACAGATTTGTCAACATGTGATCAAGGATGACTTTACTGGTGTAAAAAAAACCATGCCAAACGCGCATATTTACTTACTCGGAATTGTAATAATGCATTGATTAATCACTCACAATACATCCATGAAAATGTGTATATACAAATCTGCTTTTCTTAATTTGTATATGGTGAATGTGATTGGCTAATGTAAATATGCAACCACGATACATTCATCACAATGACAAAATAAGTATGCATTTTTTTGCAAATTGGTGGTGGTTTTCCATCTCGGACAAGCTGAAATTAAGTCGACTCCGATAACTCGGACATGTCGCAAGAACGAAGGGAAGCCACGTGACGATTAACATGGAAGCACCAGGGCGGAGAGAGGTGGTTTGAAGTGGTGAGCCAAGTTATGAACGATTGCTGAGTGGATGTGGAGATGATGGCCTTGGACAGGAGTGAGTGCAGAAGGGAGGAGGACCAGGAAGGCAGACCCCAACAAGCGTGCATCTCTCGTCGCTGCACTACCGCGCAACCGCTCCGTGCATCTCGTACGCAATGGCATGCCAAGGTGGGTGCTGTCGATTGCGTACCTGCGGCCCTGCACCGGTCTTGTGGGCGGAGGTGCCGTTGGCATTGGCGGAGGGAGCGCTGTCCGGGGTGGCGCCAGCCGCCGAGCGCAGCTCAGGGGGCACGTTGGCGAGCTCCACCACGTGGATGGGCACGGTGAGCGGGGGCTTGGTCTCGTAGCCACTCGCAAAGAGGCTCATCAGGGTGGACTCTTCGATCACGTCGCTCTCCCCACCCTGGCCTCGGCACAAACACAAACACGATGGGTGCCTCCGATTGGCATGGTTGGCCACGTGCGGTGCGAAAGAAGTTCCAACACACGTGCGTGCATTGGTTGGTGCTTTTAGAATGCACGCACACGGAGATAAGATCCCCCTGTGATCGTGGTAAAGTGTAGGGGCAAGTGCTGTTGGTGACCACCTGTTAGAGCCAGAGGGGGATACATGGGGGTGTAGTTTTTTCAAATGTCACCACTGATACTCGGGGATACCCAGGACTGGTTTAGATATTTGCCAACATTGTTGGCTGTGCCCGGGAATTTAAACTTTGGTTGCTGGGTTCATAGAGCAGTGCGTAAACAACTGCGCCGTCGCTCCAAATATAAACTTTTTTTTAATACAGTATAGCCTTTAACAAACTGTAAAGGCAAATGCTGTTAGTGAGCACCTGTGAAGGACATCAACACGCATGGCCACCTTTATATCCCCTGTGGTCATGTTTACACACCACACCAGGTAATCATTTCAGGCTGAGTCGACGTAGGGGAGGTCCAGGACCGATTCAGATAATCGTCACTGGTGTTGGCCGTGAGCGGGAATCGAACTCGGGTCGCCGGGTTCGTAGCGCAGCGTAGCGCTGACCACTACGTACAAAGATATAGTGGTCAGCGCTTTGTACATAGTGGTCAGCTGACCACTACGTACACACACGATTGCACACACGCAGAGATAAACAAAATATGCCTGTAAACAAAACTGACTCTTAATCCACACCCCCCGTGTCACCCTCCATCCACCTGAGCCTGGCAAATGCTATTTTGCACACTATCTGGAAACCAGCTTTCTGGAATGTGCTGATCGTTGTGTCGGTTGTAAATTGAGCTGTATACATAAATATCCATCCCATTCCCCCCTTTCCTCCGTGGGTTCTGCTCCGACTTCAGCCTACCGCAGTGGCGGGGACAGTATTCATATTCTAAGCCACCCTCTGTGTATTCGTATTCCCCTTTGAAGTTAGGCATTGCATACTATTTTTCCACAGCCTTGAATTAATGAATATTCTCTATTTTCTTCTATTAAGTTGGTACAGTGCTCTTCACTAATTTGCAGAGGGGGGCCACTTTCGCCGATAAGACATCATCAGTGTGAGGGGCCGCCACATTTGAAACCATTGTATTTGACAGCACCGCGTAATGGGGTGTTTTCACGTATGCGTCTTGTCGGAGGCCCCACTAAAGGCCACGAGGGGCCGCCATTGGCCCGCGGGCCTTGCAACGAAGAGCACTGGGTTAGTGCATCAATGAAAATAACCAGGCCCTCACCAATGAGGCGACCCAGTCGCAGAAGTCGTGGGTGACGCGCTTGAGGTCCTCGTCTTGCGAGGAGCCGCTCGGAGGTTTCCGTCGGCCTCTCCTGTCCTCCTTGCTGCTGCCCTCCACCTTGGGAAGCCAGCGGTATGGGTTCTGGTACCTGCCCTCTCGGCTAACAACAGCAGCAAAAACATTGACTACCAAAGCAGACTATGTCACCCTCATACACCAGTCTCTCCATTGGCTCCCAATCTAGTCCCAGACAAATGTCAAGATAGCCATCATGGAAGTCATGAATCCTACATGAACCCGCCTCTGCCTTCCCTCTCCTCTCTCAGCTCACTCTACTCACCTCCAAGTACTCTCTGATCTAACAACCAAGGCCTTCTGTTGATCTCCACTCTATGGGTGGTATTTCATTCGCCACTGCTTCCCCAAGGTCTGGAAGGCCCTTTCCTCCAGCCATGTGTGCTGTTGGCTCCCTGCTCGTTCAGGTCCAGATTTAAGACCTTTCTTGTATCCTCTGCCGATGATGGACTGCCTCTGTGTGGTCGTGAACACTTCTTGTCTTCGTAAAAATTCCACCATTAATGAGCTTGGGTTACAAATCGATAGTAAATGAGCATTTACGTTTGTGAGTTATCAAGAATGAGTTTGTGTACTCACGTGGATGAGATGGTGGTTGGCCGATCCTCTATTGGATAGGGTTCGGGTTTGGTGTCCTCTCCATTTGCATTATCCATGTCTTCCTCATCCTCCTGCTCGACAGGAGGTGGCTCCACATCCTCCTGCAGAGATGCCTCAAAGCGCCGCATCTCTGGGTCCAGCAAATTCACCACCTCTTCAAACAGCTACATGGCCACGATAAAACGAACACATCACCATGATGCTCATCAATATGGGGCCTTATACACAAACATGGAATGACGAAATCAGGTCGCGTGCATGTGCTGCTAGGTGGTTTGTTACATAGCAGGACCGTGAGAGATGGTGACAGCATGGGGAGGCCTTCAACCAGCAGTGGATTGATCATGGCTGATGATGATCATGATGATAAACTAGGGCACTCATAGGGCAATCGTCGCTGGGTATCGCCACCGGCGATGGTTGCCACTCAATAATCTATTGAGGGAAATTAGTGGAAACAAATGATATTGCTGCTTTCCATTGTAGGCGATTGGGATGGCAACTACAACGAAGGTTGTGTGTTGTGTAAACCAATCCTTGTTCATAAAACACACGTCAACATTCTCCGTTCACATTGTTGCATGGAAACGTCGCCGTGCCAATTCCGTTTCAAGTTGGCGTAGTTGCTCATTAGTAAATGCAACAGTGCTACTAACAATTGCTGGCAACAATTCCCTACATTGCCCCAGTGTGTCAGGGCTTCAGGAATCCGCAGTGGAGTGAATGTTGCAGTACATATGCTGTTAGATGGTGAAATATAGAGGAGTTGCAGGGAAGCATCAGCAGAAGGTCCAAACTGACTTTGGACAGATATTGCACATACAGGATGAGTGAATGATGATACGACTTCGCCAAAAGATGGATTTTGTTTGCTTTAACGGCGATGCGAGCATTACTGCACCTCCGGATCGAGGCTCTGCTGGAGGTGTGGGTAGAGTGCGAGCGGGTGCTCGCGCAAGCCGCACTCCGTCTCCTCCACGAGCGCCCGGCGCGCTTGCTGCAGCGGAGAGAGCCGGGACAGGTATCGCCGCTGATCCACGAAGCCGGACGATTTGTTCGGCCGGCGTCCTTGCCCCGTCTTCTTGGAATTGAATAGCACTGGTTCAGCCCGCGGACTCCCAACGCGAACCAGCAAACCATCCAACGATGCGGTGTGGGCATCGATAGCCGGTAGCCTCAAGCGTTCCTTTTTATCAACCCATCCCCGCTTGTCGGGATCGTTCACCTTTGCAGAGGGCTCCAGGCGTTCCTGTGATTCTTGGGCGGTGGTCACATCGCGATGTTCGTGCATCTGGTGAGGCTCGAGGTCGGCTGCAGAGTTGGCCGAGCGGGCGGACGATGATACCGCGTGCTGTGTTGCGGCGTTGTACGCGAGGAGGCTTGCGGTGGTCAAGACCGGGGGGAGGCCCTGCCAGTCCGCGTCCAGGTTGGGACGGAGGAATCGCCACCGTCGGCAGTCGTAGGAACCCCCAAGTTCGCTCTTCTTGCCCCACTTGATTTGCTTTGCCAGCAAGCGCTCCTTGTACCTGCAGCAGAAGAAGAACAATTGCCTTTCGTGATGTCCATTAGAAGTGTTGTAATCTAATGGTGTACATACACACGTAAATGATAACAGTGTTTGGTGCTTGAGTTGTGGCACAGTGGTATGTGGACTGTGCTATGAACCCGCCTATGTAAGGTCGATTCTCGGTTACGGCTAACATCGGTGGCAAGTGATATCCGAACCGGTCTTGAGTGACCCTTCACCAACCTGCAATGAACAGTAGTGTCGTGATGTGTGGTAAAACAATCCACATGGCAGGCAGGGGGAGGCCTTCGTCCAGCAGTAGATAAACACAAGGCTATACGTTACAATTATTGTTGTTGCGAAGATTTTATTTTTACACGCTTTCCTTTAACTCACGCTGTTGTTGTTGTCGTTGTTGTAGCCTCAAATCTTGTAACTCAATTGTAACCCACTTCCCAATGTGGTATCGACAGCAAACTTGGTATACTTATGTCATACTGATGACAATACTATATTCTATCATTAAAACACATCTATATTTTTAAACATTGTTTTTTATATGTTATGTTTCGGCTTGGGTTCTAATTGTCCACGGTGAACTGACGTTGGCTGTAAATCACCAGTCCCTTACGTTGTGGCAAGCTTCAGGGCCACTTCCTGGAGTCGTGGAGTTTTGCCATCACTAGTATATTTAATAAAAGCGTGTTTAAAAAAAAATAACATTACTTATTAAACCAAATAATGTTTTCATTTAATCTCTAGACTTTATTCAGGACCCAAATGCTTCGATATCCAACTTTTTTAAAAAAAGTGCATTGTGTTTGATTGCTATTGATCATTACTTTCTTCGTGAAATTGTCGTTTTTTTGTTGTAAAAGATTAGGCAACTCATTCGTAATCTATAATTTACGCTCACGGCCTACGTAGGCGATGCATTTCTGAAGCGGTCATGGGCCTCCCCCTAGATCGTCTCAGCCTCAAACGAGTATCTGGTGCGATGTGTAAACATCGGAACTGCCGAGACAAAGTCTACGGAAGGCGGTGCTGCTGTGTCCTGCCAAAGCTGCACGCTCACAACACAGTTCTGTTAAGGCCATGACGGGGATTATTTTTTTTATCTGTGTTCAAGAGCTTGTGAGAATTAACCCCCCCCCCACACAGCCGCCCTCCCGAAAGATGAGTGAGTGCTTTGAAGGGGGCTCTGTAGCCGTCACACACACACAGCTCACCCACTCACTCACCCACTCACTCACCATGGGTGGCGACCCACTTTGTGTTCCATCTTCCAGACGCTCTTCCAACTCGGCAGTAGCAGCTAGCAGCAGCTTCTACCCAGTACAGCTGCCGATCGTGCCGCTACTGCTGATACTAACTACAGCCGCTTTATGCCACTACACCTGATAGCAGATATGCTGTCAATGCGGTGCTGCTGCTGATGCTACTGATGATGATGATTGCACCGCTGGTCCTGATTTCTACCGCTTGTATCGCAGTGCGTCTAAGCCGTCATTCACGTGGAAGATGGGGAGGGGGTGGGGGAGGAATCCATTTGCGTGTTCAGTTTAAACCTCGCTCTTGGTAAACGTTTATATTCTTTTCTTCAAATCGACTCGTCCGGTCGTGCGGTTGAGCGGCTCCGGGAGTCTTGAGCCGATTGTTGCCGATGGCGAATTGTGTAAGTGGCTATTGCCGTGGTTTGTTGTTGTTGTGCGGCCGTTGCCACGGGTAACCGTTGCACAGTGACATGCAGGATGTATGGGTGGCGGTGCGTTCTGTGAGAAAGGGGGCACAATTTGAATTCCCCCGCGGTACCGACCACACTTCACCACGATCGCCCCACTCAAACGAACACCTTTGGGGCAAGCCTTGGCACGTGGTTGGATCAGTTGGACCAACGTCCCTTGTTTGCTGGATAGCAAAGGGGCCGTCCATAAATGACGTCACGTGATTTTGGACGATGTTTGACCCCCCCCCTCGTCACACGGCGTCACAAAAAGTCAGACCCCCCCCCCTCAAATATGACGTCACAAAGCTCTGCCCCCCCCAAAAGAAACATGCTTCAAATCGTTGATTTAAAGCTTTCGTGACTGCAGTGATTCATATTCTTGGTTCTTTCCGAAAGAACCAAGAATATGCTTCATCTCGCTTTAAACTATTGTCATTGTAGTGCGTAATTAATGTGCCGCTGCACTCTGATGTTGTAGGAGAAAACATTTATCAAAAAGGCTATTTAATTAAGTAGAACGTATTCTTGGTTCTTTCGGTAAAGTCACGTAGAAGGGAAACAATAAAATAATAAAAGTATTTTACAATAAAATAATAAAAGTATTTTATTGTTTCCCTTCTACGTGACTTTACCGAAAGAACCAAGAATATGAATCCCTGCAGTCACAAACGCTTTAAATCATAATTTAAGTAGAACGTGTTATCTATATTTATTTAAAGTCACATTTCTCAAACCCCCCTGGTTACACATCGTCACAAATGTCTAAACCCCCCCCCCCCCAGGTGCGTGACGTCATTTATGGACGGCCCCATAGCTGTCAATCCATACGGTTTAACCCCTTTTCTTGTACAGGGAAATTGCGTTTTCAGGTCCATACGGCGTACAGCCGTTTCAATACGGGCACATTTTTGTTTTAAATATTTGTTTGTGTTTCTCCCTTGTGATAAGACTTTGTAGGATGAACGTAGAGGTGACCAATACGGTCTGAATTGGTCTGTAATAAGGGAGGCACTGATAGGGGGTTGACAGGTATGGCATCGGTGCGAAGCCTCGAAACAAGCCTACATTGTAACACAGTGGTTCTTATAACCTTTACTACAGCCTTGCACGCCTTTGGTTCTCAATCTTTAAAAAAATAATGTTAATAAATAATATAGGTTTGATGAAACAAAGTAGTTGTACTTCCGTGCCCCTGCTTAATTTGTTTCGATGATTTATCTTCTAAAAAAACATCTGGCCATGTCTCGCACCCCCCAGGGCGTGCGAGATGCCCTCAGGGGGTGGGTGCGTGCACCCCAGGTTAAGAACCATTGGTGTAACATATTCTTCCACACTGCCCTCTGCTGTCTGCCACGCAGCCCCCGCAGCCTTTAACAATCAGTACAGCATGATCCTCGCCGATACACAAGATGATATTTTAGTTATAAACATCTGGCAGTTCACCAGATTTGATTAAAGCAAGCTTGATTCTGCTGAGGAGACACTGGATGTCGAAACCGGTCCAGACTTTTGATTGTGTTCAGAATCAGAATATTTATTTATACTGGAGGAATCCGTACTCTTTGCTTATTTCGGTAAATTCACGTAGGTATAAAAATAAAATAAATTAAATCACGACGTTTCGAGTGCAACACAGGTGGGATAACCACCTATTTTATTGTTTTACCTGCGTGACTTTACCGAAAGAACCTGCAGTCACGAAAACTTCAAATCTACATTGGAGCTCTCACAGCTCTTTTTCACAGATGTCCAGTGGGGGGTGGATCAGAACGTTGCAATGGTGTTGTTAATATACACTCGCCAATTGCTGCGTGACTGATGGGATGTGTAAAAGTTACTTGTTGTGTGTTTTGTATGTGAAGAAATAGATTTGTAAAGATGGCTATCTTTATTTTGCCATGCATGTGTAGAGGTGTTACGGGAGGGTGACACGCGGTTGTAGGGCGGTGGCCACAAACACGTCCGCTACAGCCACTACCCTGGGGGGCTGTGGGGGACGCTGTGATCCCTCCCAGCCCCACCCCTCAGTGAGGGACAGTATAAAAGGTGGGACCCGGAGAGCTGAGAGGCAGTTCGACTCAAGCAAGATGAAGAGCCAGTGAAGAAAGAAGATCGACTAGCCAGACCCTGGAACTCCTTTGGCCCGCTGTCCTTCTGAGGGCCGGGCAAAGCAAGCCAGGGTGCGACACCAGAGCGGCGAGGGCCGATCTCCTTCTGAGGGCCGGACTCGTGTGGCTGGTGATCGGGACCTGCGCCGAAGCTGGGCCAGATCAGATAGCCTCCTGAGAGAGGACCAGGATAGAGGGAACCAGGGAGCTAGCGTAGGCTAAGGCTCGGGAAACGTTCCCTCTATAGAGTACGGGTCAAGAGGCCGTTACCTCTTCAAGTATCAGATTAGCCACTGTAGAGTGAAGTGTCTGTAATAAGTACGTGTTGCCTCCAAAGAATAAGTCTCCGTCGTCAATAAGGCCACTACACATGTAATGGCCGTTCATCCAAGCAAAGCTCTGATGAGATAGGGTGCATTGTGGGTGATTCGGTTCTCGGCTGAGTGGCGTAATTATTTGTTGAAAAAGTATGATAGCGGAGTAATACACTTAATCATGAAAAACAACATACCAGTGTCTTATTAACGTTTCTAATTAGTCATTAGTGCATATTTACCTGCTATGCGATGGATAAGAACACGGACATGTACTAAGACTGGTACAAACGCTGAAAAGTACGCAAAGTCGCACGGAGAGATGCATGCTCAGAACTACACCTATGTACATTAAGTGCACTGTAATGTGTAATTCCACATTATATTTCGTCCACACAATCTTGAATCATAATCGAATTTGACCCTCAATTTGTTCGTACGCGTAAACCATGAACTTGAAGTGCCCGTAACACGACCGTCTGAAAAATAGAACCTTTTTTTAAGGGAATTATTTTTTTGAGTTGCTTTTGGAAACTTGGAAGCAGCCAGGAGCACAGGGTAGGGAGGGTGTGTGCCCACTTGGACCTCGGTAAATCACTCCCCGCGTTCCAGCGGATCATCCGACGTTGCATTCACCAGCGCGCTACAAAACATCGGTTGTTGATTTATCTGCAATCGCAAAGATGTCCAGCGTGCGTGTGTCTTAAAAACACGCAAGCCACCCGTAGTGTCAGATTTATTCCGCATATTCAATCCTGTATACAGAGGCGAATCAAAGTGGGTGTATTGTAAGAAGCTTTTAAAGCGGCTGGGTGTCCGTCCTATCATCGAGTAGGTGTGTGTGTAACGAGATTTATATAATGATTGTAAACGAACACAAGTTTGGGGGTGTGTCTTTCGAGAGCATCTTATAATTCGATTAAAAGAAATGGTACAGTGATTGAAAAAAGGTCCCATCGCTAAGATATTCGTGAGAATGCATAATCATGAGAGGTGGGTGTTGGGGGGGGGGCTTTTATTTTCGGCACTGACTTTACGACGCTCGCAGGAGACGATGGCAGTTTTATAAAAACAAAATCAAAGGGGTGACAGGGGAACAAAGGAGTCATCGGTGGTGGGCCCACGTGTAGGTGTGAGCTCAGCAGAGACGTCCGCTTGCGTCTACAAACAGCCGCGTGTGTTTTTTGGAGTTACGGAGCAGCAGTTGATGGAACACTGCGCTACGAACCTTTTGCAACTTCCACCTGATTTAAAATCCCGGCTACGGCTAAAAAGCCAGTGGCGAGTGGTATCTGCATCCCCCCACCCCACCGCACTCCCCAATTCATCAATCGGCGCTCGTGCAGGACCAGCATGGTTGAAGTATAGTCAACCCTCGAGCACAGAAATTGCAGGGCTGCACCTATAACTACGACATATATGAGCTTGTGCTTAGAAACATTTTCCATCCGGCAAACGTGCACCGTTTAAATAAAGTATCGCCCCTATCGCTTATGGCTGAAAGTGCTCTCTGCGGGGGGATAATATCCTTGGCACAAGTCACGCTCGCACGCGGGGAATGCGGGAGCTTGCCTTACACAGACCCCAACCCTCGTAACACAACACGCCCGGCTGGCAGTTTAACCGTGTTTGTAAACACTTTATATATATACACTACCGCTGGGCTTGCACTTGTCCCTACGCATAATTATATATCGCGGTACATAAGGAGACCTTAAAGTGTTCCCCCTCGTCCCCTTCATCCCCATCTTACGCCCCCCCCCCCACCGTGTCTGGCTGCAATAGCGTGGGTCGCGTAATGCCACCACGATGAACACGCCGCACGTCGCGTGCTCAGAGACAGAGGGGAGGGAGTCTGCAAGGTGTCTTGGTCAAGAATGAAAATGCCGCGGCAGCTCAACGTCCAAATCAAACGCAGTGTTCGATCTCATCGGATCTCGTGAAGATAAGTGGAATTGCGTCCGCTTAGTATTTGGATGTGTGGACCATGCGGGATTGGCCATTTTTTGTTGCAGACGTGGGGGCTGTGAGGTGGCCAGGAGATGGAAGTACAGCAATGGGTTAAATGTGTCAGTGGGTTGAAACTACCTGTGCGGAGCTTTTGACCGTTATCCCCTCGTTGATGTAGGTTTCCTCGGTTGCGCTTGGGTTTCTTCCCACGTGCCAAATGCTCACGAATGGCATTGGCCAAACGTCCCAATGCAGGACCCTCCTCAGACTCTGGATTTTCTGGTAAAGTCATTCCTAGCATGATGCGGACTAGTATACGCTTATTCACTACCACTGATACAATGAAATTCGCGAGCGCATTCATATTGATAGGTTTGTGTGTGTAAGCCCTTTGATCAATTTTCTACTGGATGAAGACCACCCCACCACACCTTTCATTCACGGGGGTTGTTCGACATTACTTCACGCCAGTGAGATGCGGCTTGTTAAAGGGGTTGCCCAAAACAGGCTCACTCACCACAGCCATGGCTGGGAATCACACTCACGTCGACGGTGAACCATGCGCTAGCCGATGCTCCATCGCTCGACCCCATTTCTTTCGCCACCGTTTGTTTTAAGGACTTTCCGTTTTGCCGTTTTTCTAAACATTTCGACTTCTCTCTGAAATGTCTGCAATGGGAATGCACTCGTCTCGGTATGTCACGCACGCATACGCTGAGCTGGACACTTAAGTTCCACCATGGGACACCGCACCATGTGCGTTTCACATCCATATCTGTCACAGAATAGGCTATCCGGCTCTTTTAACAGGCTCTCACGGCCGTAAGAAGCATGTGCTGTCAAAACTTATAAAAGTAAAAAAATGCTCGCATCGTTAATATGATAAAAGCGGCACAATGCATTGACTGGTGGGGTAAAGTAGGGGTAATTCCACCAAATAAACGATATAAAAAATTGTATTTTACCACGTAAGGCCCACTGAGGTACATAACTCTTTTTCAGAAGCGACCTGCCACAGGTGATAGCTCAACGAAGTGTTTTATCGTGTGGACATTTATAGCAGACCAAATACTCTAAACGCGTGTTTCTAAATGTGGAGGGAAAAATCGGAGGACGCGGAGAAGAATCCACGTGACCGCAGGGAGAGAGACATGCAAACTCCAAATATGCAGGCTTCGGAGTTGGGATCGAATCCATGACCTCCTGTATACCAGGCGAGGTAATTAACATCATACAATCCTTCTGGTCTCTATGCCAAATGACTGTAAGAGAATCACATGATTTACTGCAGGATGAAGGCCTCTGCATGCCGTGTCGGTCATTGGGGTTGTCTGATCATACTTCACCGCGCTGGTGAGTGCAGGTTGGTGAAGAAGGAGGGTTGCCCGGAACCTGGTCAGATACCGCTCGTCACTGTTGTTAGCCATGGCCAGGAGTCGAACCCAGGTCCACACATTCACAGCGCATTGTGGGAATCACTACACCAGGGGTGGCCAACGTGCAACATACCAAGACCCAAAACGTACCCGTGAGTTCTGCAAAGAGCCAAGTGTATATATGTATATACGTGCGTATATATAGACAGTTTTCGGTACAGCACGGGAGATAGTCATTATTCTTTGCTACTGTGATCGTATGTTCGACGTTGTGCGCCTTCGATAGAGCCGCGTGGCGGTGTGGTGGTGGTGCTGGACCACACCATTCCTCCACCGAGCAAGCGAATACTTTATTTGATCTCAAAAAATGAAAACTGTTATGAATTTAATTGTCCCTGAGGCGGACTATTTTGGCAAGTGAATATACTTTGAACAAACATTAATGAGGAAGGCCCTTTCATTAGCCACAGCTGACATTTGCCAATGGCTTTAGAGCCTCATGTGCACACTGTCTACAGCTGCAATGATGCTCTTGAGACTGAAATTTTGATTCATACTGCACATTACTTGCAAGGCAATGTGCGTATCTTCTAAATGCATGTGCAAGTGCTGTGCCACGTATATCACAGTTGGAGGTGCCTAAGGTTGACGGACGTCAAAAGCAGGACTATATTTGACTCGTAAGCCTATACTTTCCTCTGTACTAATAATCACCGCTCCCACACACGCATGCACACTCTGTCTCGTCATATGCATATGAAGGCAGGGCGAGAAACGTGGACAGTACAGCTTACACACGAACATCGCCTTTTTATTTAATGACGTCTCTGCCGTGCGCCGAATATGCAAACGTCTTCGATGTGAGCGGAGGCTTTTGTTCTAAATTGTAATTGTGGAAAGCGATGGACTGTATTGTGTTTAACCTGTATGATTCACACCATCCTATGTATCTGTCCAACCGTGTTTCATAAATTTGTATTACGGTTTTTTTACGCAGGAAAACCTCATTGAATATCAAGACTGGTTTTCAGGAGGGTCCTGTCAAGTGTTTGCAGTAGGGGGGGATGTTACTATATGCAGATCCCAATTGAGTAATTTAAGGGTAATTATTTTTTTCAGAATTGGGATGTTTAGTCAATACCGATTACAGTGTATGGGTGTTTTAAAGAGCTTTTTCCATCCGGAATGGGGTTTTTTTCTCGATAGATTTCATCTGGAATACACCCAATCTCATGACATATCGCAAGCTAAGCAGATTGAGCCTGGATAGTGCTTCACTGGGCGACCACCATGCTTGCCAGGTTATAAGGCATCTTCAGGGTTGTGCTATTTATTGCAAAGGGCAGTGCATGACTATCCATTGTACTTTGCTTCAATGTTCCCATGGCCACCATCCCACATTGGACAGCGTGATGAAGTATGGTTAAATAACCCCCCACCCCCCACGACTCAGCCGGTGTGGAGACGCACTCATCCCGCAGTGGATTTGCGTAATTCCAGCGTGCGGTGCATGCATATGCCTCATCTGATATTTAGAAAGTGTAAATCAGCTTGTTTTCGTATCAGATGCATACTTTGATATAAGATGGCACGTCATCCCTGCCGTGGTTACACGATGCGTGAATCGGCTATCCCTGACCGCGGGCTCCTCGAGTCGACTTCGTTCGCCTTGCAAAAAATGAACTTAGTGGGGGCGACCGATTCTGTTTCCAGACACTGGCTCATCGTGTTCGTTACAGAATTCCCATTAAACATTATTTCCAGACGGCCGATGTCGAGTTATATTAAGGGGATTTAAATGTCAAATGACTTCATAAAATAGATACTTGGATTTGTTTTGCCAAGCATTCAAATCTTAAACCTTCTTTATTTACCCAGGTAGCATCCTTGAGTCTGAAGGTTATTTTTTAAGGAGGTTGCTGATTGCTACGTCTCAAACAAGGTTTCCTTTGTATTTTTTTTGCGTTGGAAGAAACTGAAATATTCATTGCATCCGAAATGCGCATTAGGAGTGAGCATAGGCCAGTAACCTACTTGCTGTACTGTCACATGGTAACTCGCCGCTGTTGGGAGGTGGGTGTCTCACAACAACTGTGCCTTCAAAGCGCTGCGGTAATTACACAGCAAGCACCGTTTACAAATGTTCCCATTTCAGATATAGTGTGTGAATAGAATATTAACATAACGTATAGAAGGAAAGGATAAATAATGTACATATATTTTCTCAGGAGGGCAGCAATTAGCTGAGAGGATGGTTAGCGATTCCTGGCCATCACTAACATCAGTGGTGAGTGATATCTGAACCAAACCTGGACCTCCCTTTCACCAACATGCACTGACCAGCATGGTGACGTATGGCCAAACAACTCCCATGACCGACACGGCATGGGGAGGCCTTCATCCAGCATTGGATTTACAATGGGCCTGTAAATTAGCATGACTTACATGTACTCGTGCAGTGAGTTTGGAGCAGGCACGGGTTGTAAAGTGCGTGTGCAATTTAGCGTGTGTGTTCCATGGGCAAAATCTGTAGAATACAGATGTCCACAACAATCGTGTTAACAGTGAGAACATTGCGTGTTTCTCACACTGTGTCACTGTCATTTGAATCGGCAACTGACAGCAATCATAAGGGGATGTGGGAATTGCTCAAGCGGCAGGCCGGGGGGAGGTAGAGGCGTTGGGGGGTCGGCAAAGATGATGGATTTAGTTCAGGGGTGGGAATGAGGAGGTCCTGTGGCTCAAGAAGCTGATCCATGCGGTTACTGATGACCCCTTGAATGGGCCACTCCCCCAACCCTATAAGCTATGCTTCCCCCCTCCTCCTCCTATATATATGCGTGTGTGTGTGTGTGTCTGTGTGTTAAACCCAACGGGTGGTCGCCGAGCTACGCACTTCGGGGTCCCGCACAGCTTCTGCAAAGGCGTCGAACAATTTCAGCCAGGGGGGTGCTCGCTCGCTCGCTCGCAGCTGTGAGATCCTGAAGGGCGAACTGACGAGACGTCCACGAATTCCGTTTGGCTTCGTTTGTCATCTCTGAGCGCAGAGAATGACTCTTATTGACGAGGAGGAGACGGTAGGTTGCTGTGACGTTTGTACACATGATGTGATGTCGTTATGTAACGAAAACGATTGCAGCGATGATTGTTTTACCAATTTTCAAGTGACCGCAACGCAAAATGTCTTTGGGTGTGTGCAAATATGCATAATGACAACAATTATAATTAGAAAATGCAATCCTTACGCACCAAATGAGAACGCGTTAACTTGAGATTAATTAAAATTCCACGGCTGGACGAAGGCCTCGCCCCACGTGCCGTGCCGGTCGTGGGGTTTTGCTTGACCATACTTCACCACGCTGGTCAGTGCGGGATTGGCGAAGTTGTGACCGGTTCGCTCGCTACGCGATCCTTTACCTCTTCCGCTTCAGCGTCGTCCTTTTTCTTTTATCAGTGCCACTTTATATGTGTGCCTACATATGGGGAGGGGGGGGGGACGGTGAATTTGTGCTCATGGATATATAGTGTTGTGCAAAAAAAAGTTTCTTATACACAACAATAAAACATGTTTGACTTTTTTTTTTCGAATTAAATGTAAAAGCAAGCCATCGCAAGCAGGCATGCACATATTTGTGATTTATTATAATTATAATTCAAGCACCTAATGAATATAAAGCATTATCCTTATTGGATTGCAGATGAAGTAGTGGCGTCATTTACGTCACTGGGATAAAAATAAAAAAAACGAATCGAGATTTTAGTGGACTGGCCATCGTCACGATTTCCTGAAGGATACTTTGCTATATCGAAAAACAATATTCCTTTCATCTGTGATTAATGTTGTGTTCAAGTGGAAATCTACATCATACTTAAATCATGCCTCGCATATGCCTTCTTGTATCATTAAGTTGTATATTACTCGATATAAAAAATCTATTTAGCTGGTTTTGCTAAATGCATGAACCAAATCACGTACGATGCAGCTTAAACAGCCATCTTTAAATCTTGAAAGTTATCTGCAATGTGGTCAGGAGATGGAAATGTTGAGTGTTATCCCGTTCTATGTGTTGGTTTCCCCCCGGTTCTCCAGCTTCTACCCAAATGTCAACGCTCATTATGGAATCGGTCAAACGAACCAATTCAGGGCCCTGGTGAAAAACAAATATCTTGAGACTCAGCAAGGCTTTAGATAGCAAACATATTGGAACAATCCCATTTAACCAGCCTTAAGGAATCCGAATAATCTATGTAAGGAGTGTTCTATATTACAATATTTGGCCAGTTTCATAAATGAGTGTGCGGCGTGTTGAAAAAAAAACCCAATAAAAACCAAACGTACATCGGATAAATACTTAAAGCTTCCGCACAGATAAATTCGAAATCCATAGCAATGCTGCCAACTTCTGGCCACGTCACTGCATTACCATGTGAACAGTACGTCGTGGGAAATCAACATTGTTTCATTTCCTAAAGAGACCCCTTCTCGGCACAAGAACGTGGCATTGTAACCGCTGGCTCACGATCACCAAACAGCTTTCAGCCTCCGGCCAATGGGCCCCTCTATAGCTGCCTGTGGTGACACACGCCTGTGCTATGCGGCGCTTTGCATGCGCGGGCTGGTGCACCACGCAGGTTTCTGAAACTCCTTAGCCAGGCCGCGCAGCAAGAGTGTCGAGCGCAACCCCATCTGTGCCAGATTGTTGAGTGCTACGTCACCTCGAATGAGAAGTTTGTCTGCGAGCACTACGGATTCATTTCACATTAAGCAAAACACCCTTTAACACAAGGATGAGTCGAACGTACCAATGTAGGGACCTCCTGAAAAGAGCACTGAGAATAACTTAGGCTTTTGTGGACGAATAAATCCCATTAGCATGGGGACGGTATAATGGTTAGTGGTGCTGCACGGAAGACAATAATGGTTTGTGATGGATCAATCAGCTTTGCCTTCACCGTTCATCCTGCTCCTCCCCTCTCTTTGGACATCAGGAGAACTCGGTGAGTGTTGCGGAGTTCCTGAAAGCTGCGGCTCGAGGGAAAGTGGAGGTGGTGGAGGAGTACCTGCAGCAGGGTGGTGACCCTGACTCTTGCGATGCGGTTAGTTTTTCAATTGCTATCATCAACATCATCATCGTCGTCGTCGTCATTAGTTGTGATCAATCCACGACTGGATGAAGGCCTCACCAAGCCGTCGCCAATCTCTCATGGTCGTGCTCGGTAACAACGATCCACCTAGGACTTTGTGCACAAAATTATGTATCCCTCCCTTTCCGTGGTGGACATCCTCCGGGTCACATTCCCTGCCACACTATCACGCGCTGCAGTCACCTTTCTGGCGACGTCACCTTGCCCAAAGATGTGTCAAACTTGCATGTGTTTCCTAGTCCATCTGTCCATCTCTCTGTCTCTCAATGTAATTAAATCAAAGCGTGCATCTCCCACGCACTTCTTTGTGCACTTTTCAGCTTTTTTTACTAGATTCGAAGCTTTCGGGACTGCAGGAATTACTCTTTGGTTCTTTCTGTAAAGTCACGTAGAAATAAAATAAATTCAATAATATATTTTCAGTTTTTGTTACAACTTCCTAAACGTTAACCATTTAAATTTTGATTTAAAGCTTTCGTGAACCAAGAATATGTTAACCATTTAGTCAAGCAAGTCAGCGTAATTTCCTGCTTAGATAAGCTCTTCTGAAATGGTATTCATCTCTTGTTTACAGCCTTGTACCAGTGGTGGAAATTCCACATTCCTATGGCAGAGAATGCGTTTTCTGTAGGACAATCACTGTTGACTTCCCCACAAGCTGGTCCTGAAACTCCCATAAACAGTGTTGAAACGTGTGGACAGTCACAACCAAAAAAGGGACGTTTCCAAAGGACGAATATTGCAAGAGCAATGCATTTGTATGAGTAGGCACACTGGTAAAATTGGCTATTGTATCCACAGCACGGACCTGTCCTGTGACAGCATCTTGAAGTGATAACAGCCCAGTGAGGCTCAAGTTCATTTTTTTTTAATGATCATGCTCGGTGGTCAGTGCTGTAATGATCTCCCTGCGAAATAATCCACGCAACGCTGACAACCACACCACGTATGGTTTCTTCAATTACACAATATTAAACACACATGTGAACTCGGCGGCAATAAATCCGTTCGCAGCTCAACTTATTCTGAGTCTCCCCTCAGTTGACTAAAGTGGACAAAGGGTGCCCAGGCGTGTCGCTGGCCGCACATTCGGGCCTTAATAGGTGCTCCATAACAGCACTTGTCCCGATAGTCTGTAAGGTTAAACGGGAGATCTTATTTTGGTAATCTGTGGGTGTGTGCGGTGTGTGTCGGGGGCGGTGATGCAGTCGTTTGCCACCCATAGATAACGCCAGGGGTGTGTGGTATATGGGCCTGTCCGAGGCACTTCTTAGTTCAACTCAGCCTCGGTGTGGTACTGAGACCTCCGAACTTGGTGAGACAAAAGCGGCCGGGCGTGGTGCTGGCAGTACCACCCTCTCATTGCGCCATGGCTGTCTTAACGTGTGTGTGTTGAGGCATAAATGATGACTCGAAGGCAGATCTTCGTGTAGGGGCTTGCGCCAGCTGTTTTATTCAAGACTTTTCTTCACACACGACTCCCGTGTACTGCACGCTCACCGCCTATACTCCACACCCCAGGGGAAAGGTACTGGGGAGGTCCCTAGCACACCCACAGGCTACCCTAGCCTGGTGCTAATTTCCCCCTACCCGGGGTCCCATCGCTCCCCCAGGGGTAGGGGTACTGGGGAGGTCCCTAGCACACCCACAGGCTACCCTAGCCTGGTGCCAATTTCCCCCTACCCTGGGTCCTATCGCTCCCCCAGGGGTAGGGTACTGGGGAGGTCCCTAGCACACCCACAGGCTACCCTAGCCTGGTGCTAATTTCCCCCTACCCTGGGTCCCAACTTCCAACCTCCCACGTTCCTGGCTCCTCGCGACGACCTGGAACACGTCACGGGTCCCCAACCTAAATAACCTCAGGGGGACATGACGTCACCGGACGCCCGCCGTGCACGACGTCACTCTCTGACGTCACTGCACCGGAGGTTGAGCGTGACGTAACTTTATTATTAAATATACACGTGCTCGCCCGCAGCTGCTTCATCATAATATACCATTCTCTATCCACTGCTGTCGCCATCCCTCGCAGTCCTGGGATGGCGACAATTAACCCGACTTCCTGTAAACGAACTGATCTCATGGATCCATGTTCATGGTGTTCTTCCGCTTGGGTGGGTTCCCTACCAGCGGCCTTTATAGGCGCTGCTCCTTCGCTAACTGCACTTGTCCCTACAGCAGGGAGGGAGGGACAAGTTCCCGCCTTTTGACTACCGCGGGTCTGATCACTTCGATCATTAATCCCCTCTGCCGAAGTGTGTCGGACAAGCCCAATTAATTTTCTCATTGGTCAAATGCTGTGCATCTAATCTGTGTTGGTTCTATGATCCACGTGTTTGCGTCTCCCATTTGTAATTAATCTTTTGTTTTATTTACACTGTATTTGTCAGCTTTTATAAGGCTACACAAGCGATCTTTGTTTTATTTTCTGTTGTGTATGTACCGTGTACTCAGACCCATCGCACGGCTCTCCATCAATCCAGCCAGGCCGGGCACTTGGAAGTGGTACAGAAGCTCATTGACAAAGGAGCTCAATTGGAAAATAAAGACAAGGTGGGTTTACTTATACTGTGTAGGAACCTCCTGGTTCCACCAGCCCACAGGGGATTATTGTGTCGATCCGTCCGTCCGTCGTGCATCCAAAAATGGGAGGGGTGGGGCTGGGTGGAGAGGGGAGCGTGGGGAGGGGCTGGGTGGGGAGGGTGGGGCTGGGTGGGGAGGAGTTGGGTGGGGAGGGGCTGTGTGGGGAGGGGAGGGTGGGGAGGGGCTGGGTGGGGAGGGTGGGAAGGGGCTGGGTGGGGAGGGTGGGGGGTGGCTGGGTGGGGGGGGGCTGGGTGGGAAGGGGCTGGTCACCCCGTGGTGCCCTTATAAAACTCAACGTTTAACTTACGCCGGCTTGTGCCCTCCTTCACAGTCGGGCATATTTGCGGAATACACCACGTGGTGCCGCCGTTGACCCTGGCCATTAACCGAGCAACCCAACGTTCCTGCCAGCTCCCTCCGCAGGAATGTGTTTTATATCCCTCTCGGATGCATCCCAATTTTATCCCAGGCCTCTTTCCACACGCCACTGATCAATGGTATTTGCCAACCATCCCAATGGAGGATCCTCTTGAAAAAGAGTCTTGAGACTCTTTGCTGGCTTAATACTGCACAGTCGTTGGCTTTGTGATCATGAATATGTATTACATTTTGCGAAACTTCAAAACATGGCCAAACGATCATTTTGAAAATTGGTAGCTTCTGAAACAGAACGCTTCCCAACTCTGAACGAGAGTTAGTGTTCAACATGTCTTCGAAACATAATTAAACACCGTAATGGGATTTTTTGATTTAAAGCTTTCGTGACTGCAGGGATTCATCTTCTTGATTCTTTCGGTAAAGTCACCTGATCAGCGATCTTGCTGTGACTGTCCCACCTGAAGACGGAAGCTTGTGTTGCCTCCAAAACGTCGTGAGAATTTTTATTTTGTATTTTTATTTTATCCCCATTCTACGTGACTTTACTGAAAGAACCAAGAAGACCGTAATGGGATGTTTCAGACAACGGCTTCTCTCCTGCGCAGAGCGTAACGATTGACTCAAGAGTCTGAGGCTGCATGAAAGAGTTTGTGTCCACGTCGGTGTTTGTTTTTAGTTCACCGTGGTGTAAAAAGTTTGACGTCGCCAAAACAAAATCTCTCCGACGTCTCTCTCCCTCTGCTCTCTCAAGAACGTCCGCCGCACTACATCGCCGCGCGTCTGCTGTGAAGCGGCGAGAAGGACACACGTGGCGACGTTTTTTGTTGTTTAAATTAGCGCCCATCTATAAATAGCTCAGCCGTATCACGCACAATCAGGGCCGGATTACGGTACGGGGGGCTTTAGGGGCTACAGCCCAGGGGCCTCCGCCAGCTGGAGGGCCTCCAGAGATTTAGTGAAAAGTTATTTCGTTTGATGCATATATTATCAGAGTATGCTTTTTTCATTTGCATTCTGACCACAAGCATTGTGGTTAATGCAGACATGATTCCTTGTAAAAGGTTTCAGTTTGGTGTTTTAACATCTTAACACCTGTTTTGTTGCCCGAAAAAAAATGGGAAAACCCTATTATCATATTTTGGTGCTGGCAGTGGAGGTCCCATGAAGTTATTTCATTTGTGAATGCTGAATTTTATTAGCTGTTAGCCTTTCTTTAACTTTGTTTTCCCTTTGAAAATATTTTACATGGGGCCTCACAGTACCTGTAGCACAGGGGCCTACAAAATCTTAATCCGGCCCTGCGCACAATACATGTGGGTAGTGGTGATTTAAAGCGATTTGCATAGTGCAGAGACAGAGACGCGCGTGTGCGTGTGCCCCATTGCACACAGCTGTAATACGCTACTCCCAGCCGGCGGCATGAGTCGACATGTCGATCACGTTATCTCGCCGAGGGACCGATTTTTTTTTGCTCGCCTCATCTTGCTCCCGTGTCATCTTCCAGAGACGGTGGGGGGGGGGGAGGTTCGTGGCACAGCCGGTGATTTGAGCATCATTACTGACCGCGCGCGGGCCTCTTGTGCCCACAAATGGTCGCCGTCGATCCAAGTTGGAACGGTGGACACGAAACTGAATGAAGCGTTACCCACTAATTAGCATAGCTAACGTTGGGGGGGGGGGGGGGGCATAGGCAGATTTGCGCAGATGATGCGAGCGCAACACCACCCGCCCCCCCTAGCCCCTTGACTCCCCGGCTAAGGGGCCATCCATTTAGTCGGTACACAAAGTCTGTCAAAACTTGACCCCTCTCTCCCCGCAGAGAGAGGGTGACGCACCCCCCCCCCCGAATCCTATAGAACGGCCGATATTTAATCCACGCAGAAACAATAAAGGATTAATAATATTAACGTGTTTAAGCAAACAGATAGTCCACCGCTGGACTATCAAACTCATTTGAAGGCCAATGTAGACAAATTATTATGTGTACATTGTCAGTAGAACCCCCCATACGCAAGCGAACGCATTTGGGTTACCCCCCCTCCCCCCTTCATGCGTACCTACTAAATGGATGGCCCCTAACCTGGTAAATCCCCCCCCCCACTCCACGACACACCCACCCACCACTCGCCCCGCGTCTCGCACTCCCCATCCGCCAGTTGAAGTCGACCGCGATGCACTGCGCCTCCCGGGGAGGACACGTGGCGGTGCTCGAGACCCTCCTGGACAGCGGGGCCAGCATCAAGGCGACAGATTCGGTAATGTCATAATTACATCTGCCGATGGGCCATCGCGCGCACTGAGTCGTTGGTGTGATAGCGCCGGCAACAATTATTTGCCGAGGGGCCGAGTGAGGACCCCAGCAGCGTCCTCTTCTTCCTCCCTCCTCCCTCCTTTGCCTCGTCGTTCTTGCCTCCTGCTCGGAAGCGTTGCTAAGGGGCCGTCCATAAATGACGTCATGCACCTGGGGGGGGGGGGGGTGGGTCAGACATTTGTGACGATGTGTGACGAGGGGCAGGGGAGGGGTTGAGAAATGTGACATCATATCAAAATGCGCAACTTTAAATAAATATAGATAACACGTTCTACTGAATTAAATAGACTTTTTAATAAATGTTTTCTCAAACAACATCAGAGTGCAGCGCAACATTAAATACGCACTACAATGACAACACTAGTTTAAAGCGATTTGAAGCATGTTTTATTTTCAAAATGGAAACATCGTTTTGGGGGGGGGGGGGGGCAGAGCTTTGTGACGTCATATTTGAGGGGGGGGGGTCTGACTTTTTGTGACGCCGTGTGATGAGGGGTCAAAAATCGTCAAAAGTCGCGTGACGCCATTTATGGACGGCCCCTAATCTGGGCTATTCATGCGCAGTGAGTTCCAGCTCACCGGAGTTGCGGCCATATAGGGGAGCCTCGGCGGAGGTTCAACTTATCAACGGGCCATCGAGGCGTGCAAATAGTTCTGCGTTTCAACGGGAGGCGTTACGCAACGGTTGCACGTACACAGAGAGGGGAGGCCAGGAGATCCTCATGTCCGACGCCGTAGCTATAAATTGTACCTCGGCAAGGCTCCTTTTCCTTACCGCTCGATCCCACGATGGTGAGTAAAGTTGAAACCCGGCCTTCAACGACGGCGCTTGTGGTGTTTTACCGTCTGGGTTGAGTTTTCCCCTTTTGGTTGCTGATCTCTGGGCGCCACGCTCCGTTTGCGTGTCACCCAGTGCCGGACTAAGCTAGTGCGGGGCCTGTAGCATGTGATGTTATAAAGGGGTCCTAAATAAAAGATAACAGACAAATGTTAAAACACACATTTTTTTTACTTGCATAGTAAAGTAATTGTATTTTTTAATCTGCTATACAGCCAGATAATACGACAAATCGCTAACCTTAAACACCCAGTCGTTCATACAAGTTGAAGGTGGTATAGTACGATAGTAATAGAGCAAGTGCGGAATCACTGAATCGGAATTGATAGCTTGAAAGCATTTAGCGCAGGGCCCGTAGCATATGTGGCTACTTTTGCTACTAGGATAATCCGGCACTGGTGCCACCTGCCCCTCTCCTCCTGCCTACACAACCCCCCCAATGGCAACCTCGTCCTGTTCCTCGGTACACCGACAGCACTTGCCCACATTCTATTATATGAACTTTCGAGTTACTCGGCCGAATCTTCTGTGACATTCCTAACATTCTGCGCGCGGCCCTGCATTTTCTAGCTTCGTTGTGAAACGCACAGCTCTATGTTACAAACAGAATAAGCAGACATTATGCCTGCCTTAAATAACCGTCTGATTCACACGAAAGTTGACATTGCTACTCTCCCATAAAACCTGACGAGAACTCATTCAAGCAAAAGTCTGTTTTGCCAAGGGAGAACCGCGATTTAGCACGGTTGGCTACTTACGGTGCAGAACAAGTTCAACGTACGTACATACGTACAAGGTGGACCTGGGAAACTGTGAGCGAACACTTAATACAGCAGTTTGAGGAGTCCTTTTATTGAAGGCTGAGGCGCAATGAGCGTGTGATGCTGCGACGAGCACGTTCATCCATTTCTGCGGCCGCTGCAAAAGGGGAAAAAAAAACAATTATGAAAAAAATATATTCAAAGACTGGCTCTGGGAGTCTCGAGGGATGTGGTGACATCAATATTAAACTACCCGGTTCATTTCAAAAGCAAACAAACGCCCCGTGCCTCGCTGACAGATTCGCGCCTTACGCAGAATTTATGCAGCAGCCCCGGGAGACAGATCCCCAGCTGCACCGCACGACATGGCATCGTCGCCATCACCGTCATCGCCCTCCGATCATCGTCACTCGTTAGCAGATGACCAATTGGTCCACCTCAAGGGCACCTTGACTTGAGGTCCACCTTCACTCGTTCATCCCGAGTTCTCGCTTTGCAAGATGGACTTTTGTTTTCAATGGAACCACGCCTGCTTTGTACGGCGTCGCTCCAACTGGAGTGTGACTGGACAGGTATTTAAGGCAGAGTGTTGGACATGAGAATGCTGGGAATTCCACGTAAGATTCGGGGAACATAGTGGGAATCCGGAAAATATTGACGAAAGCAATTAAGGCGCCCAACCACCCTCACATCTAATGAGTGAGAAGTTTTAACTACAGCAAGTATATTGTAATCAACGGTGTGCATTTTACCACAACGGGCTTAAGTAGGAACAGGCCCATCAGGGGCAGGGTGGGTGGATTGGGGTGGACAGATATAGCAAATTCTATTTTTTGTTGTAATCCATTTCCTCAGTCAACCCACACCCACCTGATATTGGTGAACGGAAAATAATAAAACCTCACGAATTTTTGCAGAGCAGTATGGGTAACAAAGCAAATAAATAAAATTATGGAGATCTGTTTATTTATTCTGTAAATGATGATTTGCATGCATATGTGGAGACGCATCTAATCTGCAGTGGGTCCTTGGGTTAGATTGGAAATTGAGCTGTGTACAGTACTTACATTTCCATATGATTTTTCCCATCCTTTGATGGGGTTGTGCCTACTTAATCATATCTTGATAGTGGGGATATTTCAGAAAAAACGATGATGTTTATACACATCTCGCCGGTCAACTAAATGTCTGGCGTGCCACAGCTTGCCGTCATGCGTATGTATGTATGTTGAACTTCTATCACACCTGTAGACCCCTTATCAGTGCCGACCTTATCATAGACCATTTCAGATCTAATTGGTCACCCCGTGCCCTTACAAATCTCAACGTTCACCCTACAAAGTCCCATCACAAGGGAGAAACACAAACAAATAGACACAATTTTTGTTTGCCTGTATTGAAACGTATGGACCTGAAAACTCAATTCCCCTTTACCAGATTACGGGTAAACCGTATGGGTTGACAGGCATGCATACATAGCCAACCACGATAATTGGATGTGCGGTGGAAGAACAACAAACTATAACACAAACATCAGCGTGAAAGAAATTCGTTTTCAATCGAGAGCAGCGGTTCTTAACCTGGGGTGGACGCACCCCCTGGGGGTACGAGATGCCCTTTCTGGGGGTGCGAGACATGGCCAGGTTTTTTTTTTCCAGGGTAAATCATCGAAGCACAATATGAAGCACAGGCACGTAAGTACAACTACTTTGTTTCGTCAAACCTCTTTGTATTTATTAACATAAATTTGTTTTAACGATTGGATAACCCCAGGGGTGCAAGGCTGCAGCAAAGGTTAAGAACTACTGATCCAGATGATTTAAAAGTGCACACAGCTCCCAGTGCCTTCCCAACATCGGAAGGAAGAGCGTTCCAGACGGCCGCAGGAGCGCGTCTGACCGTCTTTGTTAGACGGCGAGCCAAAAAGCCGCCGCCACTGCGAGGATGGCGAGCGGAGTGTAATCGCGCATCTCACCATAATGTAATCGCGCATCTCACCATAATGTAATCGCGCATCTCATAATATAGTCGCGCATCTCATCATGACCGGAGTTTAATTGTTGCATTTCCTCGTTGACAGATATTGAGCAGCCCCTTGCACGTGGCCGCTCGCGTTGGGCAGTACAACGTGGCAGAGTTCCTCATCGAGCGTGGCGCCAGCGTGAACGCCCAGGATAAGGTGCGTGCCAGCAAGAAGGACCCGTCGATTGGGATCGGACATGCGTGTTTAGCTGAGGTGGCCGGATGAACGCAGGAGGCTCACAGCCGTTTCGAGGCACCTGAGAGCTGGAATCACTTGAGATCCTGGGTCCACATCAATGTTGCAACCACCTGTGACTTGACACAGGTTCTCAAGCACAAGGGAGTTGATGGTCTCAGCCTGGTCACCAATGACTGCACCAAAAGAAAAATCATCATCTTGAATTTGAATTTTCACTTATTTTTATTTGATTCCATCTACTAATATATATTTTTTTATATTTTAATGACATGTGACAAATACTTTTTGCAAGAAATACAAAATGTATTTTCACATTATGAATAAAATAGCTTTTGGAATTGACTTGAAAGTATGTCCATAACATGATCTTTGAAGTCCTTTCCTTGATACAAGGTAGTGCACTGCTCTGCACAATCCGTACTTTCACAACATATTGCCAATATCACAAATGAAATGTAATGTGGACGCAATGTTTCGTCAAATAAATACCGAGTAAAGCATAATTAAGGCTCAAGACTATTTTACAGGAGAACTCTGTATACAGTGATATTGTCATTTATACATTGAGTGCATTGCTTTTTGGAGAAAACTAGAATTACTTGAAAAAAATCAACACATCCATCTATCAACTGCAGTAGCACTCACTGCCAAATAGTCACATGTGACTCAAAACAATAATTTGAGCTTCCTAAGGCAAGTTGAATAGAAACAAAATTATCTTTGGGCTTTGTACTCCACGTGTGGTTTTGAGATATGTGGTTCCTCTGTCAGTGCCTGACGATATTTTCGGCCAGCTCTTTCCGTGCAGTGAATTGAGATGCATTCACATTCAGACGCTCCCGTCTATAAATAGGAACTGTGTTGGAGAATGGAGAGCACAGCTGGGATATGCGATTAAGATTAAGTTATCGCTTAATGTACCAATTATAATCGGTACATTAATTGCTTTGATTACTCTACCATTTGCATAACACAAAATAAAGTCTCAAACTCTGTCCCCAGACGTGCCACTGTATGAGATTTGCTAGGCGGTGTTATTGGCATCATCAGCGACGTCACGGTGGGCGTGGCTCGTCGGGGGTTTCCCGCATTCGGCAGGAAGGATTATGGGGGTGGGCCGCCTTTTTGACAGCGGAAAATGGCAGTCGATTGCAATTCTTTAATAAACGAAACAATTGAGTGGGCATGTGTGTATTTGTAACAGCCGTGTCTCCTCGCATGCCCTTTCCTCCCTCCCCCCGCCTTGTGCAGGAAGGGGACACGCCGCTCCATGAGGTCATGCGCCAGGCGCTCCCCAAATTCGCTCAGCTTCTCATCTCGGCGGGTGCCAGCGTTGGTGCCAAAAACTACGTGAGTGATGAGTGGCCGTGTCGGTATATGCTCATGTGTGTGAGTGTGCGGGCGTGTGTGTGTGGCGAGGAGCGGTAGTGTAGTGGTTAGCGCGCTGCGCCACGAACCTGGCGACCCGAGTTCGATTCCTGCTCACGGCCAACACTAGTGACGATTGTCTGAATTGGTCATCATCTTCCCCTAGGTCGACTCGGCCTCAAATAAGTACTTGGTGTGGTGTTTAAACATCATCACTGGGAAGACAAAGGCGGCCGAGCGTGGTGGTGGCCACCCACCCCCTTGTGTGCCATGCCGGCCTTTGTAGGTGCTCGCTAACAGCACTTGCCTCAACAGTCTATTCAGGCTATACGGGGGATCTTTGTCTTCGTGCGTGGTGGGGAGCAGCAGTGTGTTGCGATTGGCGCACCGCACTGTAACCCGGTGACCTGAGTGATCCCTGGCCACGAATGACATCGGTGGCAAATGGTATCTGAACTCTTTCCTGGGGCCACCTCTTGGTTGACTCGGCCTCGTACGAGTGCCTGGGGTGGTGTATAAATATCAGCCGTGGGGAGACAAAGGTGGCCAGGTGTCGTGCTGACTACGTCGCAACCCTTGGGCATGGCTTCCACCTTAACAGACGATGTCTAAAAATACGTGCTCCTACAATGCACGCGGCTGTAGTATGGTGGGGGATTTTTTGTGTGTGCATGTATTTACATAGACTTACTGGGAACTGGTAGCAGTACACTCCTCGAAGTGTTTAGCAAAAGACCCTAAAGCATCTTAGAACGTTATGGTGGCCCTGTCCAAATAATTAATCTGCAGAGCATAATTTATGGGGCCAGAATTCTAAATACAGCTGCAGGGACAGACTCAACTATATTTGTGCCAAAATTCAGCTTTCTAGAGCACCACTAGAATTTGCAATCGTCACGGTCACGCATGTGCATTGGTTATAAACCGTACCAATAATGTAACCTATGTCAACTTTGACTACTGTCTTGTTTGTGTGCAAAACTAGCAAAATCCGTGGACAAACTGCGTGTGTTTTTTCTCTTTTCAGGCTGGAAAATCTGCCGTAGATTTGCTTCCACCAATGAACAATGAGACTAAAACAGCGATGAACAATGTTATCAACAGCGCACAAAACTAGCCCAAAGCGGGCAGGCAAGACACGGAAATCTGCTGTGGTTTTAGGCGAATGCATGGAAACTAACTGGAGATCAGCTACGACCCAGGGATATTTTTTTTTTGTAAAGATGACTTTGAATTTTGACCTGCTATTTAGAATGATGTTATCACACAGTAATAGTATTTGATGTTTTGGGCTCAGCTAGTTGATTGTTATGGATGATGGGTGCTGCGGAGATGTGACGTTTGCTGCAGTGTGCCATCTGTGCCGTGGAGTATTGCCATTCACGTACCCATCGGCCAGTTGCGACGATAGATAATGTTTTCATAACTGTCACACTAATTTGCCAGATTTTTTTCTTCTCTGTTGTAATGATAATAGTAACAGCAAAAATAACCATCGATAGCCCTTTGTCAATCCACTGATGGATCAGGGCCTCCCCAATTCTTGTCATTGATGCGGGTTGTTTTTTTTTGGTATCATACGTCATCGCACTGGTCAGTCGTGTGCGTTGATGAATGGGGAGCTCAGGACCGGTTGGGATAACACTCGCCGCTGATATTAGCCGTGGCCATGAATCGAAGTTAGGTCGCAGTGTTCATAGCGCAGTGCGTCAATATCCGCAGTGCCGTGACTTCCCCAACAATTGTAAATAACCGAGTTAAAATGAGATTTGTATTCAAGTGACGAAACAAAACATTAGCCATTGCCAATTATTCACCGATAATCCCAATTCCATGGCTTTATGCATGCAAATTATAATAATTGGATTGAGAATGACAGCAGAGAGTGACATTGAAATGCAATACGGCACATGCTGTAACGAGAAGGTGCGGCTGTGACTGATGCCGGCACGTGGATTTAAACATTCAATACCGCGATTCCTTTATACACCGAGGCATCTGATGCGTGGGCCGCCGTCTTCCGAGTGCAAATTTAAATTGTGAACATGCAAGGAATGCCTTGTGCAGTAACACGTGTGGAATAACACGTGTGCAATAACACGTGTGCAATAACACGTGTGCAATAACACGTGTGCAATAACACGTGTGCAATAACACGTGTGCAATAACACGTGTGCAATAACACGTGTGCAATAACACGTGTGCAATAACACGTGTGCAATAACACGTGTGCAATAACACGTGTGCAATAACACGTGTGCAATAACACGTGTGCAATAACACGTGTGCAATAACACGTGTGCAATAACACGTGTGCAATAACACGTGTGCGTGAGGTGTGCGGTGCTGTGGGGCGTATTGGTCATCCGCTGAATAAGCACAGCTTTCGTCGTGGGCATCATTTGAGCAGGAGGTGCTCTGCCAAAATAAAATTCTTTATTTTTAAGCCAATGAAAGACGCTGTCGTTGAAAGCGCGTAAATAACGTCCCTGTGACCGAATGCTGCTTTGCCTAAATCTATAAATGTTGTACTTGGTAGACACCCCACGTGACAGCTATGGGTTTAACACATATACTGCAGACTACTGTCATGTCACTACTCCAAATAGCATATCAATGGTAACTCAAAAATATAACTGTTGGGATAATTATGGCACTCACACTATATACCGGATCCTTTTAACCCTAGTCGCAGTGACTCGGGTATCTCTTATTTACAGAACCTAATGCCTAAATCCTACAGCAGATTACTTTTAACGATTCACTCCCCTCGCGCTTTGATGAATTCTCATGGTTCGTCACCACAAGTCGGTTGAAGAATCCAGTTGTTTTGTTTGTTTCGTTTCTGTCGTCCCATTTGTACTGTTTCTCTAATTACTTTCGTCTTGCTTGAAGTTTTGCTTGCTCCGCTGGCCTAGGCATGTAACATTAGACTGTGATTTGCCTGCAACATTTACACGAATCTAAAAAATAAAACATTGGTTCTTTACACACGCAACCGATCGCCTACACGTGTCATGAGCCTTGACAGTTGACGAACCGATGTATAAAGCTTCAACGTCTCCGGTGAGGGTCAACCTGGACACATGGTAATCTGGCAGTACCTCCCTCCAGCAGTCCCGCCCGATTTTATAGGGGCTCCTCTACTTACGAACATTGACACAAGAACTTTCAGAGATCTGAACAAACCCGGTCCGTATGTCCAGTTTGCCTATTCGGACCGAGAGTCGTAAGTTTAACCGCCGCGCAATAGATGGCGGTGGTGGCATCTACATCTGCAGAACGTGAAGAACCAGTGGCATCTACATCTGCAGAACGTGAAGAACCAGTGGCATCTACATCTGCAGAACGTGAAGAACCAGTGGCATCTACATCTGCAGAACGTGAAGAACCAGTGGCATCTGCAGGAGATTATACAACTTTTAAATATATTCCCCGTGTACATGCCGTACAACATGTTCGTAAAGTTGGACTTACGAACAAATCGAATTACAAACAGAACCTCTGGAACCTAACTCGTTCGTAAGTAGAGGAGTCCCTGTACTCCCCGTCCCCCACACCAACTCTGCCAGTCCTGCCCACTACTCAGCTGTATTAAGAGGCACCCACCCACTCAGAACATTTTAAGCTGGGATAATTAAATTAGCACTTTCTGTTATTACACCTAGCACTGCTCAGCATTGGAGTCCCCTAGCCAATACTCCATCTCTTTTCCCTGATAACGTTGCTCAATTCAAGGCACTATTAACTCTGATCTATTGCAAATTTGACATCACTGTTTGTTTCTGACCGCTTGGCGTTTTGAGTCTTTTCTGGGCATGTGGTTAGCAAGTGTGATAAGAAATATGCTTGGGGGGGGGGGGGCAGGGGCTTGGGAAAGGGGGAGGACTGCTGGGACATCCTTCCTCAAATCACTTGGGCTGTGCGTGGCCACACCAGGAGGACATTTGGTACCGTTCAACATAGCTGGCGCCAATAGCCAACCCCCGGCCAGCGTGTGTACCGCTATAGATTTATGGAGCTGGGATGTGTGTGTGTGTTCCTTGGTGGGGAGCGGTGGTGCGCTCCGCTACGAACAGGACGACCCCGGTTCGATTCCCCGCTCACGGCCAAACACCATCGACGATTATCTGAACCGGTCCTGGGCCTCTCCTGGGTCGACTCAGCCTAAACTGAGTGCCCGGTGCGATGTGTAAACATCGCCACTGGGGGAGACAAAGGCGACCGGGCGTGGAGTTGGCCACCCACCCCCTCGCGTGTCGTGCCGGCCTTCATACGTCCCATCTAACAGCACACGCCCCAACAGTCTGTGAAGGCTATTCGGGGGATCTTTGTATTCCTTGATATGCAGTGCACAGATCGTTGTGATTGTTTTATTCGCGGGAGGAGGGTTGGGGGAGCTTGACGTGGCCGCTTGCTGCAGTGCACATGTGGGCATGCGCTCTATATCGGTCTAGAATGAATCCGGCGCGTCCGCCGAGGTGAATGTGCAATGAGCCCAGCTGTCGGACAAATGAAACAAAGGAGAAACCCCGCCAGGGCTGCGCATATATTTCAATTGTCGCTCTCGTAACGGCGCCGGTAACGTCCCGGAGTGTCGCCGACACCCGCGCATCTCACGGGACGTGGTGTAGCAATCATCGGGCGCGTCCAGCGCGCAACGGCTTCGCTATGAGTTAGTGGCGTTCGCTCGACCTGCTTTGGCTTCACCTGTCTTTAATTACTCGAGTGTCAGTCCGAGAGCGATGGAGGTAACTGCGGAGGCGAGGGTTGGCGGACCACGCCGTGAAACTCCCTGGGGCGTCGAGGTGCCATAGTCCCTGGCCGTCCAGGGCGAAGGCGGTGCACCAAATGTTGGCTCCGTCTGTTCCGCCGGTGTGGCGTCGAGTGTTGCCCCGTCGCACGCGTGCATGTTCTCCCTCCGGTGCCCCGGCTTCCTCCCAGCACGCAAACACCCAGCACGTCAACACCCAGCACGTCAACACCCAGCACGTCAACACCCAGCACGTCAACACCCAGCAAGTAAACACCCAGCACGTCAACACCCAGCACGTCAACACCCAGCAAGTAACACCCAGCACGTCAACACCCAGCACGTCAACACCCAACACGTCAACACCCAGCAAGTAACACCCAGCACGTCAACACCCAGCAAGTAAACACCCAGCACGTCAACACCCAGCACGTCAACACCCAGCACGTCAACACCCAGCAAGTAAACACCCAGCACGTACACACCCAGCACGTCAACACCCAGCACGTCAACACCCAACACGTCAACACCCAGCAAGTAACACCCAGCACGTCAACACCCAGCACGTCAACACCCAGCACGTCAACACCCAGCACGTAAACACCCAGCACGTCAACACCCAGCACGTCAACACCCAGCACGTCAACACCCAGCAAGTAAACACCCAGCACGTCAACACCCAGCACGTCAACACCCAGCACGTCAACACCCAGCAAGTAAACACCCAGCACGTCAACACCCAGCACGTCAACACCCAGCACGTCAACACCCAGCAAGTCAACACCCAGCACGTCAACACCCAGCACGTCAACACCCAGCACGTCAACACCCAGCAAGTAAACACCCAGCACGTCAACACCCAGCACGTCAACACCCAGCACGTCAACACCCAGCAAGTAAACACCCAGCACGTCAACACCCAGCACGTCAACACCCAGCACGTCAACACCCAGCAAGTAAACACCCAGCACGTCAACACCCAGCACGTCAACACCCAGCTCGTCAACACCCAGCACGTCAACACCCAGCACGTAAACACCCAGCACGTCAACACCCAGCAAGTAAACACCCAGCACGTCAACACCCAGCACGTCAACACCCAGCACGTCAACACCCAGCATGTCAACACCCAGCACGTCAACACCCAGCAAGTAAACACCCAGCACGTCAACACCCAGCACGTCAACACCCAGCACGTCAACACCCAGCACGTCAACACCCAGCACGTCAACACCCAGCAAGTAAACACCCAGCACGTCAACACCCAGCACGTCAACACCCAGCACGTAAACACCCAGCACGTCAACACCCAGAAAGTAAACACCCAGCACGTCAACACCCAGCACGTCAACACCCAGCAAGTAAACACCCAGCACGTCAACACCCAGCACGTCAACACCCAGCACTTAAACACCCAGCACTTAAACACCCCGCACGTAAACACCCAGCACGTCAACACCCAGCACGTCAACACCCAGCACGTCAACACCCAGCAAGTAAACACCCAGCACGTCAACACCCAGCACGTCAACACCCAGCAAGTAAACACCCAGCACGTCAACACCCAGCACGTCAACACCCAGCACGTCAACACCCAGCACGTCAACACCCAGCAAGTAAACACCCAGCACGTCAACACCCAGCACGTCAACACCCAGCACGTCAACACCCAGCACGTCAACACCCAGCACGTCAACACCCAGCACGTCAAGACCCAGCACGTACACACCCAGCACGTCAACACCCAGCACGTCAACCCGTATTACTTGGCTGGGAACATCTCGACATGTGGAGGGTCCACAGAATCTGTGGGGTGGATTGTTGGCTCCGGTTCACTGTGTGACTGCCGCTCTCCCGCCTGCCCGTGGTTTATTCGCACCTCTGAGACCTTCTTCTCCCTCGTCGTGAGTTCGCGATTACTGTGCGCCTTACGGGATTCGATTATTGTGATTATCGTGGGGGGGGGGGGGTCGGTAGGGGAATAGGGGTGCACGGGCAGCTACGTACGGTTGGCGATGTACCGTGAGAAAGAAGTTCAACTTACATTCACGCGTATGATGACGGAATAATGGTCCTCTACGCGCGTAACCATTGATTCAACGTGCACTTAAGATGCGCTTATTTTTTATACGATGTAAACTTTAGGCATGTTTTTCATTTCTCCTTTTCACCAATTTTTAAGTGAAGGAGACAGCGAAAGAGACAGGGCAAACGAGTCAATGCAGACGAGACGGCCAGTAGAGAATGGGGCGAAATATAATTTATTGTTGAAATAAATCGTGATCTGAATCGTGATATTTTATCGAATTGCGATGGGTGGGAGGAGTGATCCGCTACGTGCCGACTAGTTGTGAGGCGTACATGATTAACAGTACTGTACTTCCTTTAGGTAATACGCACACTAATAGTATTTAAGCGTTATGTAAGAATTATCGTGTGTCTGTCAGTCACAGAGACATAGTTGCGTCATTTCCATTGCGCTCTGTCGAATGAGGGAACATTTTGACTATAGAGAACCAGGGACCTTATGGCATTGATGATGAGATAAGTACGACCATTATCTAGGCACATAAACACGTGATTGTTGGTTTGTTTGTAATTATCACTAGAAGCCCGCTCGTTTTATGAACGTGACCGTCTGTCAAAGTCCTTCCTTCCCTCCCTCTCTCCAGCCAGCAAAACTTTTTTTCCTAACAGTATAGTGATTGCAATGAGTGGTACGCCCCCTTGTGGACACATCGTGGTATTGTATCTAACGTAAAAAAAACAAAGTGACGGGGGTGGTGGACGGGACGAGGCCTCACGACAATTCAGGCCACTCGTGCGATGCATTTATTAAAGTTCTGAATGCATCACCTCGTCAGCATGACGGGCTGGTACAAACTTGTCGCTCTTTGCTGCGCGGCCGCAAACGTGACTTCTTGCAGGTGGATCCGCAATGTTCCCGTGTTCGCGTGTCGCGCCCCACGTGTGGCGCATCTGACACCGTACACCGCTGGTGCGAATTGGCTCGTGGTCCAGATGCAATAACTGCTTTTGGTGGCTGGTACCTCGTAGGGGGTCCGTGGGGACTTCAAAATATTTATTCTGCGACGAAGAACATCAGGGTGTGAAAATTGAGGCTGAGGTTTGCCGAGCGCAATCCCAGCGGCTACTACCCTGGCGTCCGTGCTAAGTTTGGCAAATTATTCGATGCATGCTGCTGCAGTAACAGTGGCGCTCGAGCACAAACACTAGGAATAATA